ATCGATGCAACCATTGAAAATACTGTATAAAATATGTGTAACAAGACATAAAATATAAAGTTTAAAAATGGTTCTAAAAACAGAACTGTGATGATGACTTTGTATAAGCCACTTTTAAGACCCCAGCCGCAGCCCCTAACAAAGAACAAAGTCCAAGCACTACGCATGTTTCTGCGTTTGTCTTTATATAATGTACAATTCTGCCAATTTTTTACCATAAAACTGGACTGTTATATGTTTTAAGTCACTTAAATAACAGGAAAATAATACAATAATATTTTAAATATGTTCTATCGGAAAAATACGCGAATCGAGGGAGTACTCAGTGAATAATTTGTACATACAATCTTCAGAAAAACACGCGAATATTCGGGGTTTCCACGAATAACAAGTATATATATTCTAAAGAAAAATCCGCAAATGTGTGAAGCCGCGAATGCTGAAATACGAATAGGCGGGGGCTCACTATATATATCACTATATATATATATATATATATATATATATATATATTGAACAATAAAAAAATATTAAAAAATTAAAATCTTCAGACACACTGGGTTGTAGATTAATATTCTTTCGTTTTTTTTTTATTATTATTTCATTTAGATTCCTCGACTAGTTTCGGCCAAAATGGCCATCATCGGGAGAAGAAATATTTCTGCTTGCTGGTAGCAGTGAACTACAGAAATGAATGTCTTGATGGAGAAAATAAACTTTTGTCTGTAGTTTTTATTTTATTTTATTTTATTTTTATCTTTTTAACATGAATCTTTTAACATTCCTTGTGTTGGTCAAACAGTCTCTTTTAAGCTGTTATTTGAGATAAGAGCTGGATGGATCTATGCTTCTCTGAATTACCTTGGTCAGTTTGACAGTTTTATTGGTCCTGGAGAGGGGATGTGTCGCTGTTAAGTGTTTGTGTGTGTGTTATTTGGTTCTTAGGGAGTGAGTGAGTATATGTGTAAGCGTGTGTATTGCTGTGGGTGTGTTATCATTTGGCTCAATAGGGAGTGAGTGAGTATGATGTGTGTGTGTATATTCGTGTGGGTGTGTGTATAAGTGTGAGGCCTCAACACCTCCGTAAGCATGTCTGTCTTGTGTGGGTGAGAAATGTGGGTAGGTTTTGATTTGTAAAGTTATATATTAGTACTATCTATATTGTTAAATTTATGGCTTAGCCCGGCTGGATATTGTGTTTTGAGACGTTGTATCCACTTATTTTCATGGAACTCTAAAATCTTTCTAATGTTATCTGCTCTGAACTTTTCTATTCTCTCAATTAGAGTGAATTTGGCATGGGTTTTGAAATCGTGTTTTTCTAGGCGGAAATGTTGTTCTACAGGTAGTAATTGTTCATAGGGATTCGATTTAATTCGCTTACGATAATTATTAATTCTGTAGTTAAAGGGCCATTCAGATTTTCCTACATATTGTTTCTGGCATAGTGTGCATTCTAGGAGGTAAATTATGTTTTGACTTCTACAGTTAGAATCGTGGTAGATTTTGAAAATAGATTTAGTGATTGAGCTAGTGAATGAATCCGTGTGTTTAATATGGTTGCAGCATAAACTTATTTTGTTGTTACATGGTTGGGAAAATCCTGTTTTTTTGTTCTTAGTTTATTACGGATTAACTTGTCCCCTGAAATGTGGTTACTACCTATGATTTCTTTTAGGTTCTTAGGTCTACGATATGCAAGAAGGCCGGGTTCCTTAAGCAGTTTTTTTAGGTCTGGTTTGAGATGTAGTATTTCCCAGCGACGTTTGATTATTTGGGATAGTGGAGGCAGAGTGGGATTGAAAGTGGTTACTAGAGGGATGCGGCTAGATTTATTTTTAATCTTGTATATTAGGGTGTCTTCTCTCGGTGTGGAAATTGCTTTATTTATTTGTTCCCTGATTAGGTGTTGTTTATAGCCACGTGTTGTGAATTGATGCTCCAGATTTTCAATGTGTTTATTTAATTCTTCATTGTTGGAACATATCCTTCTGAGTCTAAGTGCTTGTGAATAGGGAAGGTTATCTTTGAGGTGTTTAGGGTGTGAAGACTTAAAGTGTAGATAGTTGTGGGTGTATATATATATATACATATATTGATAAAAAAATGTATGACGTGAAATTATTAAGATTTATTTTTCTTGCAAGACATTAAATTTTGACGTTAGGTTAATTGAACTGATTTGGAAATTAGGTAAGGAAAAGGTTTTCAGCTACAAAACACTATATTGTCTACCATCATAGGCGATTCATGTTTGCCAGTGATGAACAAGAACTGGTCGAGTCGTCGGTCGACAGAGTGTGGCATTTAACACAAACTTCCATGTTGCCAAATATGAAACGAATTACCCACATATCAACTGTACCCACTTCCAGTTTAATCTTCCCAAGCATATATTCATATCTATCTATCTATCTATCTATCTATCTATCTATCTATATATATATATATATATATATACATGCAACCTTGTTTCGGAGCATTTAGTTGCACCTAAACTGTTGAGGACTAAAGTGGTTATAAACAATTCTGTTTGTAAGTAGGCCGCTCGTAAAACGTCACTCCAAATTTGTTTTTGTCTATATGAAAAAATTATTCTAAATAATTATTGCTCTACTCTCAGTATTGAGCCCTTTATTAATTGAACGTTGGAATTTATGCATTATTTTAGTTTTCATTACATTCGGATATATATATATATATATATATATATATATATATATATATATATATATATATATATCAGGCACGTGCCGTCATTAATTACTCAGGGTAGGCAGCTTTTGATCTTACGTAGTAAATCTACAAATATAAAGTATTTCCCATTTTATGCATAATAATCAGCCTTCATAATTTTACCACAGAAGTAAAATTTAGCAGCCGATCAATTTTATTTAGGGAAGGTTCTGCCTACCTTGCCTGCCTAGGCAAGGCAATAAAACTACTAAGACGCAAAGAGTTGCTCAGTGTGAGAGAATATAAGAAAAAAATCATTATTAATGGGAGAGAATGAAGAACAGGAATTAAAACAACAGATGATAACGATTGACATTGCATTTAAATTTTTCGAGATCAAAGTTGATCGGAAAGCACGTATCCGGAAGGGGCTTCGACAAGCAAGAATTGCGAAATTGTTAGCAGAGAACTTGCGTTTAAAATCTACCCATTTCAACCGCAAAATGATGAGACCTTGCCACCAATCTAGTACTGCGCTTAAATTCATAAAGTCTAGGTACCTTCGATGAAAGTTCATCAAAACAATTACCATGGAAATATTTACAGAAACTATTTCGCATCAACACACATACACACACGCGCACGCGCGAATTCACACACAGAGACACAGCCACACACACACACACACATACATATATATATATATATATATATATATATATATATATAAATGATGAAATGTATTAAGTCCGACAATTATTTAATATATTTTCTTTTTATACGTTATACGTTTTCTTGATACAATTTATTTAAGTAAACATTAAGGTACGTTTCGTGAGCAAATATGATTGATGGAGAAAAATCATCGAAGATTATGTTTAGAAAAAGTAATTTGGACTTTGCTAATCAGACGCTTCTCTGTAGCTGAATGGTATAGCACTTCAGATCAAATGGCTGTTACTTATTATTATACACATTCGATTCCTCTCGGAGAACGCATATTTTCTATTAAATTTCTCGAACATTCAGGCCGGTAAATGTAATTATTACAGTTTAATTAAAAACCGATCATTCACTTAAATAAATTGTATCTGTAAAAATAACGTGTATACAGCATATATATATACATATATATATATATATATATATAATTACATGAATCATTCATACAAAAACAAATAGAGAGGTTAATGATTTAAATGGCGAGAATACATCTTCGCAAACAATTTCAATAAGTTACAGTAACCCCGAGCCTGTATATGAATGATATGATCCCTGTTTATAAATTCCAGTTTCATAAGGTCTTTTTTAGTTTTTACAAACTTTCGTCTGTTCCTACAGAAATCCTCAGCTATGGAAATAGATTTGTTCTTGTTTTTTACTTCTCGGTAATATATTTGTTTTTGTATGAATGATTCATGTAATCTTAAGTTATAATCGAAATTAAAATAACTGATCCAACGTGCAACTTTCGGATAAGTGTGACATTCCTGTAATTATTAAACAATATAGTTCATACCACATTGACGGAAAACCTACCAGTACAAAAGAATTCTCTTATTACTATATTTGTACAAAAACGCACAACCTTAAAATTTAAAATTCAAAGTCAACGTTGCGACCGCAGGTTCCAAAACAATAACACATTTCTCATAGCATTTTCTTCGGATTACATCACTATTTTCGTTGTCCTCTTATTACCGAGAAGTAAAAAACAAGAACAAATCTATTTCCATACCTGAGGACATCTGTAGGAACAGACGAAAGCTTGTAAAAACTAAAAAAGACCTTATGAAACTGGAATTTATAAACAGGGATCATATCATTCATATACAGGCTCGGGGTTACTGTAACTTATTGAAATTGTTTGCGAAGATGTATTCTCGCCATTTAAATCATTAACCTCTATAGTTGTTTTTGTATGAATGGTTCATGTAATTATAAGTTGAACATCACCTATAATCGAAATATATATATATATATATATATATATATATATATATATATATATATATATATATATAATGTGTGTGTGTGTGTGTGTGTGTGTGTGTGTGTGTGTGTGTAAGTGTGGGGCTCTCAGTCCCATACCCTAAAATAAAAATGGTTTTAATATTTATTAGAAAACGCAAGGACCCTGGTTATTTTTACGGTTTTTCTTATAGACGGGCATGCTCAAGACAAATATGTCTCTTTATACACATCATCTGAGCAACGCGCATATCTCTCTGTCTACACCTTTATATAGGAAACAGCTCACATGTATGCCAAATGTTATTTGAACCTATTAGATGTTTCTCTGCGTTGTTTTATATAAACCCGGTTTATGATACTGTGTCGTTCATATCCACATTACTATTCTTTTCAATAAAGACTTTTTCTTCTTCAGCATCAAAATGTATCTCTGGTATGTCTTCATTTGTTTGCCAGTCTTTTAGGTGCCGAGCGAAATAGTAAACGCCGAGGAAGCTCAAAAATATAATGACCGAGGCGATAAAGCGGGCAAGAGAAAACTTTAGACGAAAATCGTGCAGGTCGTACAGCATACACATGCCGCCTTTTTCCGTTGTGGACCGCCATTTCAGGCAGGCGGAGTCGACTACCTTGCCAAAGACAATTGGACCAGGGATAAAACCTAAAAAAAAGAAAGAAAAGAAAAGAAATTTGAAAATTCTTTGACAAGTTCATTAAATGTTGTTCTATAAGCTGAGTGACACAAGGCAAAAATGATGTGTCCTGAACACCCCCACATGAGAAACTGGTCTAAGATTATTTAAACAGCACTCTCTCTTACTGAGGGTGATGAGTTAACGATTACAGTTAACACTGCTTGTCGACTCTCTAGCTCTGGGCGGAGAGGAGCCCAGACGAGGTTATGCCCAACGGAAGAGTCTCGTCTCTGGAGGAAGACAGCTACCTGACTCCGTTTATACGGGATCTACGCGTAATTTTTATCCGAACCTACGGGTTCGTAACGCTCCACGTAAAAAAAAGCCCGGCCTAGTGGAGAGATTTCGAGTAAATACCGAGGAGTTACCGATCAAAGTCGACTATGCTTGTCGACTCTCTGTCTCTGGATGGAGAGGAACCCAGACGAGGTTATGCCCAAGGGAAGAGTCTCATCTGGGGAGGAAGACAGCTACCCGACCCTGTTTATACGCGATCTACGGGTAATTTTGCCTATGGGTTCGTAACGCCCCACATTAAAAATGCCAGGCCTTGTGCCAGATTCCGCCTTGTGGGGATGTCTCGGGTAACGAGTTAAGGAGTAATTGTACATCATATTACTGTGTTTTCAACCGTGTTCGTATTATTTGCCGGAGTAAACTACTTCTTATTTTCTATATGTCTGTCAATCTTTCCTATTTACGACACAACAATCCTTTCGGAGGATGTATCGAACAAATTGCAACAGCAAATTAGTTTGCAAAGATTGGTCTAGACGAGGAGCTGTTGACTAAATCGAAAAAAAATCTGTCACCAGGTCAAAGATGTGGGGCATTTATAAAGACACTTAAAAATATCGCGCAAATCTATATTTTATACTAAACGCAAAAAATAAACTGGTTAAAAAACTACAAAATGTGAGATAAAATCATCCGGATTTCATTAGAAAGCACACGAAGTCAAACAAGCCGCAAATAATTTTATCTGAGTCAAAAATGTCTGTTTTGATTACGTAGAAAATAACACCTATGAAGTAATATCTTCAAATTGGCCTCTCACTGACAAAAAGGGAATAAAAATAAATTAAGAAATAAAAAAACATTCGGGAACAAGTGAAACTTGAGCGGAATTTTCTAAATTCCGCTCGCAGACATATTAATAGGCTTGCATATTGTGATATAGAGATGAGTAGAGAGGTAAGAGGAGACTTGGAGTCGTTGTCAGACATATGGGAAGGTCTTGTCCATCTGTTAGTCGTGACACAAGTAGAAGACGTCCCACAGGTCAACTACCCGCCCCCAGACATAATAATTGAATAATTAAATCTACTGGAATCATGATGTGCGTTTTCAATTTCTTTTTTGTGGTAATAGTTTCATCTTTCGTTTTCATTGTGAACGTTCAACAGGTCCTTTCCCAGCTTTCGTTCATCCCGACATGAACAAGAATTAAGAAACAATATGCAGTAATTTTTTTTTGTTTTTTGATTTTTTCATCATTAAAAGACTGAAGGGTGCGAAGTTGTAGAGTAATGAAAACCAATAAAGATATTGTCATACTGGCCATTCACTAGTAGATACTAAAAGTAGCGGTATAGCCATCTTAGTATAGAGGGGTTTCTCTTCTAGATGATAGTCCTGGGTATGACGATAAACTACATCCAGCAGCAAGGGAGATTGGAGGTTTTGAGGAGTGTGGAATCACCTCCTAATTGCTTTTGTTCTCAGTAGCACACCGACTCGGAGTGGTAGCATAAGTTAGGGGTCCCGGCTATGGGCAAATAGTGAAGTCACAGACAAAAAACAAGACTATGAAAGTATAAAAATACATTTGTATAGTAAAAATACCAGCAACACATTTTTATATAACAAATTACCAACAGTACCTATATATCTTAAAATTACCAGCAATAACAATTTATAGCAAAGTTACCAACAATAACAATTTATAGTAAAATTACCATCAATACATATTGAAAGTAAAATTATCAACTATGTTTATAACAGAATTACCACTGATGAATTTCATAACAGAATTACTAATAATACATTTTATAGCAAAATGAACAACATTACATTCTATCTGTAGCTGAAGCCACAAGATTGTGTTCAAATTATTTAGATTTCGGCATTAAATAACACATATAGGTGTTGATATGCCGCTAAACAAAATCACCGAAACGAATTGTATATGGAATTGGATCGATGTGGCAGTCGAAAGCCCTTAAATCGATGTGATTAGTTTCTGTCATGATGCAGAATACAGGGGAGATCCTGGCCCAGTGGCTGTAACCCAATTGTTAATTGCAGAAGTTTCCAAAATAATTAAGAAAATGCATAATATAAACTATAATAAAAAATCTAAAATTTGGACTCTAGGACGCAGAGAAAGATCTCGAAGACTCTTTGATGGGAAAATACAGCCTTTGATGCCGAGGAAAAAAAGGATATATTTTTATACTAACCGAGAAGAGAGAGGAGAAAATTTTGAAAACCCAGCGCAAACGGTTTTTCCACTTCTTTGATACTCCTGAAAAGAAAAAAAGAACCTAATTTTGATACTCCTGAAAAAAGCAAAACAAACTAACTTTCCTAATCCTGCAAAAAAATAATTTTGATTACTCCTGCAAATAAAAAAATAATTTGATAATCCTGCAAAAAAATGTTACTCCTGCATATAAAAACATCTAATTTGATACTCCTGCAAAAAATATATATATATATAAATGTGATACTACTACAAAAGACATCTTTTTTATACTCCTGCAAAAAAAAAATCTAATGTTCATCCTCCTGCAAATTTTAATAAAGAATGTGATATTTATTTTCTCGTGAGAGGAACAGTTGCATCAGAATCATAACAAGGTCAAAATATTTTCTTCTCGTATTTTTGCTATCACTCCTGATACCTGTTCAGCCAATTATTCACACAAACTCGTTAGGTAGGTGATTCGTTACTTTCTTCTGTCGCTCTTGTCTTCAATATGTTCTGTCAGTGTCAAATTCTCCAAGCCCACTTTCCTTATTTTGCGCCCAAGAGATTTCAACTGTCCCTTTATTAATGTTAAATATAAGTGTTCTTTTTTATTCCATTTCCCCTAAAAATTACCGGTTTAAATGTTTAGTCTATAATATTTTCAGCGACGTTCTGTTGCCTCGTCTCCTTTTCTGTATGATATAGGAGGATCGATATTACGTAATTGCTCACTACGTTTTTCTTCATTTCTTACGAAATTTTCCTGATTTTTAAATCTTTGCTTAGCTTTGGGAAGGCATCTTTCTCTACACCAAATTGTCTTCAGATTTCGGTGACGCATTTTCCCTCTTCCTAGGTATCCTAGTTTTTGTACTTGCTTGATTTTAGTGTCTCCGGTCAAAGTTCGCATCTTCGATTGTTCCTTTGATGTTAAGCCATTTCTTCTCGATTTTTCTTTACTATGCTCTGTCGGAGTTTCTGTAACTTCCTTTCTGTGTTTGCTATCAACGCCGTGTCATCTGAAGATCTTGTGTTGTTAAGAGTGTAGCCGCCAAGAATAAATCTTGATAGGACTTCTAATTCACTTACGATCGCTTCACTGTAAATGTTGTATCAGTTATGTGCCTTGCGTGATACACGCTTAGGCGATCATGTATCTTTCAATACATGACTGACGAGGCAGATTTTTTTCCCGCAGAAGGATGCCATTTCTTTCAGCCATCTAAGGCTATAGAACCCGTCTGTCCTGCCATTTACCCATAGCTCAGAGAGAAGAAGAGGATTCATATCTTTCCCAAGGGTATTAGCACGTTAAGTGAAAGTAATGGATTCGACTGGAATTCGAACTCGGCTCTCCGATTCCTCAATCTATCACTCCACCGTATCGAGGCATGTATCGAAAGATACATGATCGCCTAAGCTTGTATCACGCATGGCAAATAACTGACTGAAACGTTGTATAAGTAAGTCTAACTCAAATTGCCGGAAAATAAATTCGCATCCCTCTGAAAGACAATGACGTTTGAATGTTAATGATGTAATAGAAAAGTTTATAAGATACGCAGATGACACTGTGTTGAGTGTTACAGTAGGAAAACTGTAACAACTCCAAATATGTCCATCTGCTACAAGGATGCCTTTGGGCCAAGACGTTATTAGCTGAGAAACAACAATCACGACCCCCAAAAAGTAGTTTTGTACCTGATCTGTCGGCAAAGAAACTTTAAGCATACAGACTCTGGGGCAAGTCTCACTCAATCGCAGTTTCTCTCTCCATAAGCTGCCTTTCTGTTTCAGTAAAAATAAGTACACCTTTAATGGTGGCCCATATCACATCGTGTACTCCATATAATGGGTGCCCTATGGAAAAAAGGTTTATTCGCCCAGTTATTTTCTCCCATTATGGGCATTATTATATCCATGATATAATAAAAACCTTATTTTACGGACGGAATAGAATCGCCGAAAGAAAAAGGAATGACAAACAAAGAGAGTTTTATGTCGCTAAGTCTTACACAAATTACATACATATTTACATTTATCCCACGCAGAGAAAATATAACACATATCTACAAAACAAGCAAAGTGAAAAGGGGACGAAAAAAAGAGTTTTACGTGTAAATTCACAACGAGAATTGGGTCTCTCGGAAATTCTTATGGAGAAGCCATATTTAGGATTCCAGATTCAAGCGGGCCGAATTTATCTACTATGTCTCGGTCGAGGACACGCTAATGGAGATTCCTGTGCTTTTCTCCCAAACTGACGGCTGCAACTTGGAAATATTTTCTGTATCTGGTGAAGATATATTTCTATAAGAAAACGTCACCATAGGCTTGTAAGCTGCACCAAGTGGATGAGGAGTGGGCTGATAGATTTAACATGTATGAAGTGACGTCACTAATCGACCGTCACGTGATCCACATGACTTCATCTGGATCAAATCACCTTTTATATCCCTATACCTTTATAATTTCAATTTTTATTTAGCCATTTGATTTATTATCATGTCTCGTTGATTCGAGCTAATCAACCGTACACACATTTGGCTTAATCACACCGGCCGAAAGAAAGAAAAAAAAAGAATATGTTGGATGAACGAGAGACGAAATAATATTTACCTTAAGATTAAAATATAACTGGGCATCAGAGACAGACATTGAAAAAAAGCAGCAATCAATCCAACGATAATGGCTGGCCACAAATTGGTGCAATCTGTCGGACAGTAACTAGGCGACGCAGTCTTGATCAGGCTCTGCACACAACTACAATCATTATAGGTCTGAAAAAATTAAATATAATTGAGTAAAAGTGTGTACGATTAAATATGCAAAGAAATGGTGGATTTTTCATTTATTAATCTATGATATATTTATTAGGTTAAACGTGGATACTCATATTTAAGTAGACGTTCTGTTTATTTTGAACAGTATTTTATTTAATCTACCTTACTGAACATTCAAGAAATCATATTAAAGAAAAATATGCTTTCCGGTAGGATTCAGAACCTGTGTCCTCCTTCGTAACAGAAACTGTTGTTAGATTCTTTGCAATTTAACGAATCCGGCTATGAAGAGAGTCTTGATCAAGCGAGGTTCTATTTTGACTTTAAGCACATTTCACTCGTTCCGATTTTTGAAGCCATAACTCCTCATTTTCGTATCCGAAATGTAAATAAATCAATTTATGTTGTTATGTTTTGTTTGTTAATCCGACATATTTTTATTACCTTAAACATTACTATCAGTGGATATCCGTATTTGAACAGACATTTATTTTAGAACAGTATTTTATTTCATTTACCGGCCTGAACATGCGAGAAACCTTATATAGCATTATATTAGAATACGAGGGTTTTAGGTTAGAATTGTTTTTATTGATGGGTGGATGCCCTTGTTGGATGTAAATGACTTTCCCCTAACAATAAAAATTACTCTAAAACACTCCAAGAATCCAGTTGCAAAAAATTGTCTAACTATTATTGAAGCCGTTTGTATTTAACAAAGAATAATCCATTCATAAAAATCACTTATGTGCGGATGGATGAGTTCGATCTCCGGTTCGAATCTCACCATGATTTATTCTCTTACGAATTTCATAGCCGATGAGACTTCTTGATGCTATCGACATGGAGACACGTTCCTGTCGTGCGGTATTGTTAAAAAGTGCCCGAATATTATACCCCATTTTGACCCAAGTCTTGTGAGAGAAAACTGAGTACGTGTTATTGTCCATTGATTGTAGTGTTAGCTGGAAGTCACAAAACATCATGGGTTTGAATGTATTGACGTCGTTGATATCTCTTTGGCAAGTTGCAACATGGCTGCAACAATTACCAGGTTATTCATCAAATATTACATTCCGATTCTTAAAGAATATTTAAAAAAAAATACTAATTCCCTGGAAGACTGCGAAAGACATCTGAAACTATTATTTGCTGCGAACGACGAAATGACTTTTTTTTACCCATTATAAGAATTGCCTGAAAATATAGTGTAGAATAGGACAAAGTTTTACATTTACTACTTTCTTATATTTCTCAGAAGAAAATTTTTTTAATTTTATTTAATAAGGCTTTTTTGGTTAACCTGATATTAGTATTAAAATCAGTTAACAATTAAAGAGAGAAAACAAAACAAATTTTAATGTGTTGTAAGTTCTAGTTCTAACGAATGAGAAAGAACACAATGTAAAACAACAATTTAACACATTTAATATTTATCTGTTCACTTTTAAAGCGTTTCATAAAGTATGCCACAAAGAACTGTGTGACGTCACCCTGGCCTTGCTCCAGTGCTATCCTGTGACGATCTAACCCTTGGCTGATTCGGATGGAAATCTGGTTAGATTCGGCATCAGCCTTGCCGTTCCCAGCTCGCCTCCAACGTCTGGTTACTGAAGTAACTGCTTTGATTTCTAGTCTAACCTACCCACGTTGTGATTTGAAATCAATCAGGCGTCGGGCCGTAGTGCAAGCCGAATTCGGAGCAAAGGTGATACCGCACAAGTATATGTAAAAGAAAATAAAGTAACAACTCGAAAGATGCAAATGTGTTAAAAAAAGAATAGCAAATAGCTTTATATCTGGTTGCTGAATACAGGACTACGTCTTTCTCCCAAACCGCTTCTATGGATACGTGACACTTTACGTTTCTTAGGCGAGTCTTAATATAGTTTTTTTAATAACATGGTTTTTGCTATCTTCAGGCGATATTCGTAAAACTTGTTTTGGTGGTGTAAGTCTAAGCCGTTCCTCAACAAAAAATTGTTTTTGGTTAGAAGTCTAAGCCGGAAAGCGTGGAAATCTTTCAGTCAGCTCCTGCAAGGCTGGTCTCCGAGCTCACAGCTCAACTCTGTGACTCCAGCTGTCACCAACCGTGTTGTGACTGCCCCAATTGTGACTGCGTGTCTTTGCTCTGGGGACGTTCGTTTATATGGACGCCGACGAAAACCGGGTGAGGGCCTGTCGTGGTTTGGGTTCCGCGATAATTTCAAATCCACAATAAGGATTTTCTTTGTTTTCGGACAAGAAAATTTATCACTTCCCATTTTTGGAAGTCAATTACTTTCTGTTTTAGAGGGGTTCTTAAGGGAATTGTCCTCCCAAATTCTTCCTTATCTCATATTGGTATCTCACACCAATCCCCTCAGAGGGCGTCAATAGGTTTCCCTTCTTTCTCATATTTTTACCTTCACCCATCGCTCACGCCACCACTCAGCCAATGAACGGTCGGCAGTGCAGGTATGGCTAGACTGGGCTCAGTTTACAATTATCGCTCAAAGAAAAAAAATTATCTTCCTTTTTCTTTTCTTTCTTTTCCACCGACTAGAACCCCCACGAATCGTACTGTGGACATTAAATATTTATCTTAACTTGATGTCATCTGGAATTCCTCAACGGGATTTTCGCCAAGTTATTATTTGTGTGGTCAACTGAATCTCTTTGTCTTCCTCCACATCATCGCATTCTGTCGCCAACAGTCTGTCCAGGTAACAAACTTTTATTATGGCAAGTTCTGGACATTCAACAGGTGGCTTCCGTCCAAAACCAAATGATATCTCTGAAAGATAGTTAATGGCTTATTCTTTTCCTTTTTCTCTTCTTCCTTCCTTTTTCTTTGGGGTGGTCTCAGCTAATTCTTTCTCGGTCGCATGCTTGACCCAATTTCAGATTATCTTCTAGTATTCTGCTTTGTAAGCCTCTTGACCAATTTTCATTATTGCCATGGGCAGATTGCTATCTGTCTTTCCTCGCCGCGTCATGGCATAAATTAATTCTGACAGATCCGAGATCTTACGAATTTTCTATCTTCTGCGAAAGAAATACTTTTCTTCGCAAATGAAAATAAAATCTTTACCCACTTTTCTTTTGTTAAAAAAAATAACATCGCTCAGTATGTCTTTCGTGATAGCTTTTTCTCGCCTTAAGTAGTTCTCGCTTTTAATTTCCACGCTTAATTAGTTAGCAAATTAGCATAGCTAAATAGTGTCACAATTGGACGAACAGATTTAAAATAAAATTCTCATATATGAAGTCACGTCATAACGTAAAAAGAGATTTCAAACACAATGCTAATAAATAAAGTGGCGTCATATCTTAAGAAGAGATTTCAAACCCAATGCTGATATATAAAGTCTCGTCATATCGTAAGAAGAGATTTCAAACACAATGGTGATATATAAAGTCTCGTCATATCGTAAGAAGAGATTTCAAACCCAATACTGATAAATAAAGTCTCGTCATATCGTAAGAAGAGATTTCAAACACAATGCTGATATATAAAGTCTCGTCTTATCGTAAGAAGAGATTTCAAACACAATGCTGATATATAAAGTCTCGTCATATCCTAAGAAGAGATTTCAAACACAATGCTGATAAATAAAGTCGCTTTCATGGTGTAAGAAGAAATTTAAAACATACTGTTGATATATAAAGTCTCGTCATATCCTAAGAAGAGATTTCAAACACAATGCTGATAAATAAAGTCGCGTCATATCGTAACATAAAGTAAAACTACAGTCACGAGAAAAATGTGCCACTTAGTTAAATAAGTATTTCATACTGGATCAATATTAATCTTGAGCTATGTCAAGAGACTCATAAATTTTCTTGGCTTTATTTTTAGTATCTCTAAATGTTCATGTTTCTTTCGCGCCTCGTACTGTGTTCGTGTTAATATTATTTACCCTGGTCTCACCACTGAGTCTGGATGTGATACAAGGTCGGGTTTAACGTGGGAAAACCAAGTACGTACATCCGGGACAAGGACAAAGATTGCCCAGCCCCGCAACTGTCGGTATGACTACCAACCCTCGCTCTTTAGTGCTCTGGGCATGTGCAGTCTCGGGCAGCTCTTCCCCGGGACCGGGTACCTCACAGTATTTATTTTCCTCAGCTCTGTCTCTGTCCGTGGACAGGGCCACAATTGAGTCGCACTCTTACCCAAGACAGAGACGCAACTGAGAGATGATAAACCCTATCCGGCACATGCCAGGTAAGTATTAACTGTGTTCGTGAAAATGCGACAACCTAAATTAGAGTTCTGAATGTCAACAATTACTAATCTTGAAAGAACACTTTTCTAATATTTAATGGCATCGTTATTTAGAGAACTTAAAACACTTACTTGGTTACTTATTTTAGTGCATCATTTTACTTATAGCTCTTGTCACGTCACTGCATTATATATGCAAATTAGCAGTCAACCATCAACAGTGACATTTATAGCCAACTCTCGCTTACATAGACAACCAGTGTTTACATTTATAGCCAACTCTCGCTTACATAGACAACCAGTGTTTACATTTATAGCCAACTCTCGCTTACATAGACAACCAGTGTTTACTTTGATGAGTTTTTTGTTTGTTTTGTGAGGACAGGGAAATCTATGACAAAGTGTAAAACAGTTTTCGTGTGACACGTTTGGTCCCTTACAACCCCTTCGGGCCGAATTGGTATCTATGTTGATGTAGATACACAAGTGCAGGAAAGAGTGGGGTGGCTGATAATAAGATTTTTTTAAAATATGTTTTGGTTACATCGTCTAGCCGATTTCAATTATTTTTTTTTTTCATGGTTTTATCACTTTTGTTATTAAACATCACACATTGCGGTAAGAAAAGATCGATAAAATGTCCTAAGAACCCGGATGTAAATGTACTTTGGATGATCGAGCGATTAAAGCACTTTCTATATATTTTCGTCTTAGTAAATTGCCTATCTCTTATCTCTTATCTTCGAGTAACATTTTTTTTTTAAATCGCAGTTATGGCCAAACATATTACGGTGAAAAACTAATGCCCTGAGTCTGTTATTTATTTCTTAATATACAAACATTTATATATGATTTTCTGTCTCTATATCTCTGAGATGAGGTATTATGATTACTTGCATTATTTACATTATTCGAACTGCTATTCTCATCTTCATTGCCATATTCACAACGTTTTGGCCGTTGTGCGCTTATTCTGGTGATTGGAAATAAGAACCGAACCCTTTATTTCTTCCACAAGTGTGAATTGTTCTAGTTCCCGTCGCCATGCCTCTTCCGGATGTCTCAGTTATTTCCCTTTAACTCAACTCTCCAAGTTCTTTTGGTTCACCACTGCTGTGCCCTGTTAATGAACTCGCAACACTTCGGGTCTAGTCACTGGACCTAACCAACGTTTTTATCCACTGGGCAAATAAATAATGCAAGTAATGGTTTTCTCATTTATAAAAGTAGCGAAGTAATCAACCCAAGTACCACGATTAATCGAAATAATTCTGTCTAATTTGTTGTGATATTTAAAGCATCATAGTAATTAGGTATTTTTTGTTGTTGTTGCGTACTAACTCATTTATTGTTCTCGTCACTGTGTAACCTATAATTATTTACAGTTGGACTAATGCACTTGTTTTATTCTTATCACAACGTTTAGGTCGTTGGGCCCTTCGGCTTTGTTTAGGTATCTATCGACCCAGCAATTTCAGACACACCTTTTTTATTAAATTTACAAGTTATTAAATTTATTCTTCTTATTACTTGGTCCATATCGAATATTATATCGTATTATTATTTTATTAGTATTGCTCAGTTATTGCCTGTCCTCTTTTAATATACCGTTTGGGAATTCTCAATAAAAGAAAAAGAAAAGATGGTAAAGGGAGCCAAGCTTGTGAACAAGGCTTCATCAGTAAGAGTAAGAAAGAAATGATTTGGTTTGTTTTACAGCATATCAACTTCAATGTGTTATTTAATGCCGACAAGATTTTTATTGCTGGTAATATTTTTTTTTCTAAAAATGTATTGCTGGTAATAAATCTTTCTCAAAAATATTTATTGGTGATATTAAAACCTGTTTTTAAACTTTCATAGTGGTTTGACCCCAGTTTGGAGGTTAACTATTTGCCCATAGTTGGGGTTAGGGTTAGGGTTAGGGTTAGGGTTGGGGTTAGGGTTAGGGTTAGGGTTAGCAGGACATTAACCCTAACTGGTGCTACCACACCGGGTCAGGGTCGACCTGGAAATGCCAGCAATTAAGAGATGCTTCCACGCTCCTCAAATCCTGTTGATCCGAGGCCTTGATGTTGGACGTATTTCATCGTCTTACCCAGTACGTGGATGTAGTTTATCGTCTTACCCAGGACGCAAGAAAGAAGTGAAGAGGCGGCTGGAGTCAGATTTACTAGCAAGATTAGACTATCTCTTTTTTTTATTCTCCTCTCTGGTTTTTCGAACAGGAGTAGAGGTTTATCCCTTGTTTCCTGTTTGATATTCGACTTCTGGTTCCTTCTAATGTCCCTACCTAAATTCTGAAATTTTATTCACTTTTATTTATTTATTTTTTATTTATTTATTTTTCCTAAATAGGATTATATAGGTTCACCTGTCGTCCGTTTCAAACACCACCCCGGGATTTTGAAAAGGAGTAGAGGTTTATCTCTTGTTACATGTTTAGGACTGGATTTTCAGTTGCTTCTAATGTTTTCTCGTTCTCTTTCATTCTCAGTATCTCTTTGCATCTTAGTGGCATTATCGCGTTGATTCTCTTGAATTGATTAAGAAAAGAGACCTAAAGATCCAAATATTGGATTATCCCACGGGACCGTAACCTGACGAATTAGTTGTGGGTCATAAATTTGTTGTCTTGCTAATTATGAGTTCCGGTAATACAGGCCGTATTTGTGCCTTGTATTAGGAAAGTAATGAACCTCAAATTCGAAATCGTCTATCTCCGCCCCCACAATCAGCAGGTATGGGTAAAATAGCTAGACAGACTGGGTCCTATAGCCTTGGGTGGCAACTGGTCTAGGAGAAAGAATCTGTGAATTCAAAACCAGCCTGAAGAGGGTTGGAATCTGTCAGGCTATCTTGCCCGGGACACACCACTGCAGTACACAGAGGGTTACGGGTTTTTAAAAAAAGACAGACTCAGACGCTCTAGAAAAATTAGGAGATATCATTGGACAGAGGAACGAGAAAAAATTGTCGTAGACTATAATTATCTAGAAGTATTCACTACTATTTCTCTAGTAGTTAGCCACTTCTACTCGAACAGTTTCTTGCACTTCCCGACAGTGGCACTCCCTTCCTCTTATTTGCTTCCCTGATAACTACAATCTTCAAAAATTTAAATGCAATGTCAATCGCCATCTTCTGCCTTGATGTCCGTTCATATTTTCCTCAGTCGCCTCTATACGCAGTCTTTTCTCTCACTTTCACTCTCTGTAATCCCTTGCGTGCTCGTGACACTTCTGCCTTGATTGGAGTTAAATGCTTAAAAATATTGAGTCTTCAAGGTCAGGATTAGTTTACTTTCCATCTGTATCAACTGCTCTATGGTGGATATTTTCATATGAACACAAAATTCTCCCCCATTTTTTTGACAATTTCAATTTGGATTACTTTATATGGGCAAAAGAAAATGAATGCAATTAAAAAAAAGAACAGATAAAAAACTTAACGAAATTATTTTCTTTTGTTTTTAGTATTCGATACTTACTGATATGTCCCGGGAAAGGGATATATTTGTTCGAAGTAGTAAAGTGGTTTTGGACTACTATAATCGGGTAGAACAATCTAGCAGGTAACCGGAATGGACTCGTCGTAGTGGTAGGCAATAGGCGTAGGCAATAGGCGTAGGCAATAGACATCGTCTTGTACCTCCACATCAGTCTGTATTTATGGCTGACACCAGACAATCATATTACTGTGAGGGGGAATCCATGTGTATGTTACATCAGATACCAAGTCGTTTAGATTCTTTAGAAACACGCTTAGACCACGATAGAGGATTGGGGAGGCATTTGTACAGTTTTTAGGCTAGGGAAATAACAGGTTTCTGGTTGAACACCTTCAGTTGAATTACTAGACACGGGTTGTGATATAGTATTTTTTGATTTTGGCATTTTATTCGCATCCAAACCCGGTATAGGGCTATTTCAGACTATTGTAACTGATCCAGGTTCGGAAATAGTTGTTCCCTCCCCCAGCAGGATTGAGGTGACAGAGAGACATTTCTTTCTTTTTTACTTGCTAACATAACAACAGATCAAAATCTCGTACATCAGGTTCGTATTTGTTCTAAATGTGATTTCTTGTGAGCGCTTTCCAAGGAATTGTCAACCACGAAGGAACAGATCTTCCGGAGTTAGATTTTCTCGGATAAGAAAACATCCGTTCATGAGGATTATAATTCGTGGTTGTACACGATAAGGGACGAATTGAGTGAAGGGCGTCAGATAAAACACTTTCCCATTGATTCACAGGTAAACCTCTAGATTTTAAGGCTACTTTGGCCGTTCTCCACAGAGTTCCTTTCAGTCTCACCACTTGACCGTTTCCCCGTGGCTTGTACGCAGTAGATCTACTAGTAATTATTCCTTTCTCTTCTTAATTCCTCCAACATAAAAATAGGTCCTCGATCAGATTGTATATAATATTGTATACCAAAAATCCAGTTGTAGATACAAAATTGAAAGGGGAACCATTATATTCATCAATGATTGTCAATAAATACTTGTTTCTTCCTCGATCTGAAAGAAACGATGCCTTGAAATCTTTCGAAGGGTTTAATGTCGACGCGATTGAATCCCAAATTTCACTGTTGATAATTCCAAAACGGTAAATTTTATCAAATCTATCAAACCAGATTCGAATGGAGCATGCACAATTGCACATAAATATAAGTTTTCTGGAATTTTTTTAATGCGAGCCAAGTGCGGGTATTACACTGAATATTAACCAACAACATGATAATTAAAAGAAAGATGTAGATATTAGTCATCTTGTAAATAATGTAAATAACGCTAACGCTTTATTTCCGATGCACGTATCATACCATATAAAAAAAAACAAAAAAAAACGTATTTATGATTAAATTGGTGATGAGTCATTAATCAGAGATCATAAATAATTATACGAACCCCGTTGAACATGGATGTACAACCTGCATGACAAGGCGAATAGTAATTTGCACCATCGGCACCACAAACTGGCTGAAACATGTCATCCGTGCAAGTGCAACTCCTTGTGCAGTTGTTAGACAAAGTAGCAAAAAGCCCACTGAATAATAATAATAATAATAATAATAATAATGGTAATAATAATAATGATGATGATAACAATAATAATGATAATAAAAATGATGATGATAATAACAATAATGATGATGATGATAATAATAATAATGATGATGATGATAATGATAATAATAATAATAATGATGATGATAATAATAATAATAATTATAATGATAATGATAATAATAATAATAATAATAATGATGATGATGATAATAATGATAATGATAATAATAATAATGATGATGATAATAATAATAATGATGATGATGATAATAATGATAATGATAATAATAATAATGATGATGATAATAATAATAATGATGATGATAATAATAATAATAATAATAACAATGATGATAATAATAATAATAATAATGATGATGATGATGATAATAATAATAATAATAAAACAGAAAGTGCATTTTTTTTGACATGGCAGTTTCTACAGAATGTAATGTATCTTTGAAGACCGAAAAAATATATATATATATCATAATACAAGGATACTGAAGTGGAAATTTAAATTTTTTTAAAATGTTAAACCCGAGGATATCAATGATTTCAGTTGTAGTTTGAGCCCTCAGTTTGATCGGAAACGTTTTCGATAGACACTTTGAAGGGATCCCTGGTAGCACATGCTTTAAAGAAATACAAAAAATTGTACTCACAGAACCGGTTCCACCTTAAGAAGAGCTTTATCTAAGTAAAATGCCTGTGATAAAATGTAGTTGATTATTTTATTTTATTTTTTTTTTCATACATAAATGCCAAGTAAAAAATATGATGCCATCTTTGACCTTAAGTCTCTGGTTGGAAAATATTGGTGGCAGTGGATTGTAATAATAATTCTTTTTTCTTCTTCTTTTATATTAACAAGTTTTTGAAAATACCAATGTTATTGTTTGCAAGATAAAACTCTTACCAATCCAATGATAGATACAAGTTCTATTAATTCAATCTTAGCTTGCGGTACGGTGATAGTAGGGTTGAGAGAAAGCTTTCTTAAGGATATTTAAGTGTAAAAGAATGCAACGAATTCAACTGGAATTCGAACTGTGCCCCTCGATTTCTCATTTCGAGCTGCTTTCCATCCGCACATCCGATAGAGCAAAAAGGAAGAACAGAAATTAATCAGATATGACGAACTGAACACTAATCTTTAGAAGCTAAAAAAAAGAAACTGTCATATCAGTTGTTATTGGAGCACTTGGTACCGGGGCTGTGAAAATGGAGATACTGATAAAGAAAATTGGTATTGGATTCACAGTGGAACTGTTACAGAAATGAAACCACTTTGGAACATAAAGAATAATCCGGGAACTCATGAGAACTTCGTGTTGGAGGGAAATGGCTTGGTACGGAAGGCTGCTGCTTATGTCTTTCTTTGCATTCATTAATTTCCAGATATTATCTGAGAAAATATGGATAATAATAATTAAAAAAAAAAATTCCCAACAACATTCCAGTCTGAGAGAGAATGATAAATTTTCAGGAAATATCGTTATTAAATTTACCAAAGAGACAAAGGAAGGCAACGGTAATTTCTTGTAAATTCCTCAAAACTAGACACTTCTTTTCTTGATTTTTTTTTTCTCTGACAATAACCAAAATGCTGAATGCGCGGTTAATGTATTTGTTATCAGCACGGAACGCGGAAACTGAGTTCAAATTTTAGTCTAGTCAGTTGTGCTCACTTTCACCTTGGCAAAGGCATGAACTCATTTCTGTCCTTTTCTAGCAACAAGCAACCAACAAACCCTGAAAAAATAGCAGAAGAGTTTCGACTCTCTAGCCTTGGGTGGCCATCTTTCTAAGAGACGGAAAACTCCGAGTTCCAAACAGGCCAGAAGGTAACATGAAGCCATTATGTTATCATTCCCTAGAAGTCATCGCAATTCGTGGATGTGCGGCTGGTGTAATGGATAGCGACTTGGAAGGAGAAAAAAAAGAGCCAAGTTCGAATTATAGTCGAGTTCGTTATATTTACTTGCGGACCATATTCTTCAGAAAGCTATGAATACATCTCGTCGCCCCTTATCTATGGGTTAAATAATAGGACTTATAACTGGAAAAAAATCGCAGTAATTCTAAAAAAAAAAACTGTAAATGCGGTATTCACTCATAAAAAATGATTATTCTTGCATATGTTTCGGATTTAAATAACCCCCAAAAGATTGATAAAAAATGTATTCCGCCGTAAACCTATGAAACAGGATAACTCTAGACACATCTTATACATTTAAAATGCAGAGCAAATAATTGAGCTAAAATTACGTGAAAATACCATTTTATTCTAAAAGTTAGTTTGGAACAGTTCCTTTTACCTTTATATATATATATATATATATATATATATATATATATAATATTATCAAACCCATTGATAAAAAAACCAAATCAATCGACCTCGTTGTTCAGAGATAATAAATAAAAGCCATTTTGTTTCCAGTTCACATATACTTCTCTTTTGACGATGGCCCCTAAATTAATAACGGGTGTTGTGAGGTGGAGTTTGGTGGAATGGGGTTCATTCCCTTAATGTAGTGTCATTGAAATATTTTTTTTCAAGGAGTAATAAACTTTACATAATGAGCAGATTAAAATAACTGCAACGTTCGGATAGTAAAAGTATTTATTTTTGTATGTCTATGTTCTTAAAATTTAAAATTTAACCTCAGTGTTGCAACCGCACGCCCAAAAAAAATCCTTACAATTAACAATAACACATTTCTAAAAACGTTTTTTCGGATTAAATCTGTTTGAACAGATGAGAAAGCTTGTAAAAAAACTAAAAAAGACCTTTTGCAAAGTATTTAAACAGGATCATAACATTTATATACAGGTTCAGGGGTTAATGACATAAATCAATCAATAAATATATTTGTTTTTTGTATGAATAATATATATATATATATATATATATATATATATATATATATATATATATATAAAATATGAATACTATAAGAACAATCTTTTATAGATATAAAAAAATATTTTAAGATTTACTCAAATGCCTAAACACTGAAAAAAATTTATTTTTATCCTTATATATATATATATATATATATATATTATAATAAACATATATATATATAAACAATATATATTAATTAAGACATTTTATGTTTGAATGTCCGAGGATCGTTTATAATAAACAGTATTAAACAACATTTAACGGCTTGAATTCCGAGGATCGTTTGGTTATAAGGTTCATTTCATCCATGAATCAATCATCCATGAATCTCTCACATTCATATCTGCTAATGGCGTATCAAATGTAAACAAATGACGTCACATATTATGAAATGGACAAAGTCCGACAATTATTTTAAGACATTTTATGTTGGTCTGTGATGCATTGTGGGTAGTAGGGTGTATTATCCTGAGTGTTATATCTATAACTATTTTACAAATCACTGAGCATGGTTGATCATGAATGGAGGAAAATCGGTAGTCATCAGATCCTGTGGAATGAAGTGAAAATACTGGACAATGAAGAACTGTAAAGAGCTAGACATCTGAAAAGACATATGCTAGGATATGAGGCTCACTATATTAGGCCTAGCGTAGACATATAGGAGCGGTTAATAAAGAAAGATAGACAAATGACAGCGAGTCTTCAACCGCAACATGAGAGACTATAGGAGCAGCAGTTTCAACTCTAATCAGCAGGTTAGTTACATTTAAGGCTCCAAGTCAAATTGTCCTACGGAACAATGACCGAGTGAATTAAAGCGTTAGTTTGGGAATGTAGTGACATAGTTGTGATTTAAATCCCTGAGTCGAGTAGTATGTACTTGCAATTAGTGGAAACGTGTGAGCAATAATTGAATAATACTAAACAAAAAAAAAAAAAAAAGAACTAGAAGGTATCCCTAGACATAAGCAGTGGCAAGAGAACAATCTACCGCCGTAGATTAAATAAAGGGTTCAGTTCAAAATTATTTTACCCAAATCGATATACACCTATATTGAATCGGCTAGGAATTTTTCGAGAAGATGGACTATTAGGCATCAGATTACTACTTCGTCGTCATAGTCAAATTTGCTCTCTCTCTCTCTCTCTCTCTCTCTCTCTCCTCTCTCCTCTCTCTCGTTTAGTAGATAAATTCGTACTTCGTTGTTATAAGCTCGAATAGGTCAATATAAGAAAAAGAGTAGTTGGAAGCATTTTCAAATCATTAAATTTCTTGAAGAAAAAGCTAAAAGAATGTAGACATGCTGACGAAGTAATCAAAAAAGTCATAATGGAATGTGAATCATTCGATCCTTTTGAATTACTGAAAGGTGTTGCTCATAATTACGAAATCAAGAAGTAATTTCTAAGATTAAATAGCTTTACTAAGTTTTAACTATTTTTTAAAATACAATATTTTTAATGTAAGATTTTCATTTACATTATTCCATTTCTGTTTTAACAGGATTCTTAATTCCCTAAATGAATAAAAGTTATATTGCAAGTTGGGTGTTTTCAATGCTTTTATCCTTTATTTGTTTTTGTTTTCTGGGGGGATTTTTTCGGTTGGGGTACCTCGTTTCAAACAAAGATAGTGATTTGGAAACAGTCTGATGCCTAAACGGCTGTGCCGAACAGTTCAATTATATTTCTAACGCCGATCAGTCACTCCAAATGGGCGACGTCGAAACGTACCAAACTAATAGATTATCGCTTGAGAACAAACAGTATCAAAGTTGTCTCAGCTGAAGTCTAATGCTACATGACACAACAATGCAATGTTGCCATGAGCATTAATTATTTGCTATAGGAATCCTTACATAAGCATAATTAATCACATCAGCATTTGCTTTGATTGGTTTTTGTAGAAGTTGGGGAACTATATATATATATATATATATATATATATATATATATATATATATATATATATATATATATATATATCAATTTCAGTTGAGCTCTGTGGGTTGGGAAACAGTGACTATTATAGCTATATAGCGAGACTCTTCGCAGATGCGAATGGAGTCACTGTCGGTCACTGGGCGTGTTTCTAAAAATAGAAATCCGCTAAAAAATTCGCTTTCATCCCTACCGTGCGCGGACGGCTTAATGGTTAGAATCTCCGACTTCAGTCGGGTTTCGATCCTAGCTAGAGGCAATCGGATGTCTAGTCACAATCTGTCTGTGGATGACGTTATATATATATATATATATATATATATATATATATATATATTTGAAATTGGTACATGATGTATTCCAGGTTGATATTTATCAAATTGATTAAAAAGCAACGCGTCCTGGGTAAGACGATAAACTACATCTGACAGCAAGACTTCTGTTCAGGAGGTTTGAGCAGCGTGGAACAACCTCTTAAAGAAAAAAGAGTAGTTGCAGGTATGTTTATATTATATTTCCTTCAGTGTAGCTCCATATTTTTCATATAAAAATATATAGAGATGCTGATGAACGAATCAAAAAAGTCATAATGGAAGTTGAACCATTCGATCCTATTGAGTTCCTGAAGGGTGTTGCTCAGAATTGCGAAATGAAAAAGTAATTTCTAAAATTAATTAGCTTTACTAAGTTTTTAATTTTTTTAAATAATTTTTTTTTTTAATTTAAGATTTTAATTTACATTATTCATTAGCGTTTTAATAGGATCCTTAATTTCCTAAATGAATAAGATATCATATTGAATGTTGGGTGTTTTCAATGCTTTTATCGTTTTTTTTTTTTTTTGTTTTGGTGGTGGGAGGTTGCCTCCGGTCACAGACAGCGAGGTCGAAAAAGTCTGACGCCTAAACGGCGAATCAGCCACACGCCACATGGGCTACGCCGAAACTTAACAAACCCTTTAGTTTCACCGAGTCAAATCAGAAGAGCCTCGTTTTCTTTTACTGGTGGTGCAGAACATTTTGGTTCTGATGCTATAAACACTTACATCATTTAATTAACCACATTCCAAGTTATTAATCAGGCGATTGTTATAAAGACTTTGATCTCCAACAAAGATCTTCCGACTGTAGGGACTTCGAATCTTAAGGATTTCCATTTGTATTGTTTAGCTAATTCCAATCACGATGAACGGTGGCACTCTCAATAAGTTTTCATAAATCGAACTTCTATGGGAACTCCTGCATTTCCAAAGATTAAGATGATCCGAACCTTCAAGCTGATCTTGCATGTGATCTAGCTTTAACAGCTCAATAGGAGAAAATGTCTTGCAACTTTCAGTAAAGTTGGGTTGATTTTTATCCTTTTTTTGGTGGGGGTACCTCCTGTCAAAGATAGTGACGTCGAAACAGTCTGACGCCTAAGCAGCTGTGCCGAATAGTTCACTTATTTTTCTGCCGCCGAATCATCCATGCCAGATGGGCTAGGCCGAAACTTACCAAAGCCCAAAATATTATAAATGATTTTTAGATAGTCATAAAAGTAGTCCTTTGAAGATTTAACTACCCAGAAAGACAAGTGGACGGAGTGGGTAGGATCCCAGGACTATCCACATAAGCGAAAGAGAAGCAGGAAGTTGGGAGAAAAGTGGGCCCAGTCGTGAGAGAAGTAGGTAGGTGACTAGAGGAGTTGGAGTTGCCCAGCGGCCAGTGGCCGGAGGACCGATAGTGAGGAATCAGGAGTCGCCTAGGTTAGGAAGTTAGGAAGATAGCAGCCCACCTCTCGAAGCTGAAGGAAGAAACCCGCGTTTAAGTGAGAAAACGTATTGTATCCCCAACCAGAGAGTCTTGAAAAGGAATTATCTTCATTATTTTTGTTGAAAGCGATCACGGATGAGAAGACAAACCTATGCACGTAGCGAGTTGGATGTATATGCAACTTTGAATGTCATCACAGGTGCAGTTAAAGATGAACGATCGGAGAACATTGTTAGAATTACGCCACCAATGGCCTCAAACTAGTTTCTAAAAGTAATATTTTCAAATAATTTTATAGCTGTAATGTTTTGTAAATATATCTTGCAAGGTAATTTGCTAACGTTGTTAGCAAAAGGTGATTATTATCGATCAAGTATTGAGGCAGGAGTTACAGACGAATTAAGTTTTTCTTATCTGTAATGTTTCATCATCGGACTGCAGCAACAGTGAGAATCGTTTATTACAAGATAATCTCAAGGACAACGAGAAAATTTAGCTCAAAATTCGGCTTACCTGGTTTCGCCCGGTTTTAATATAACAGGCTGTTTGCAGCCAAGCATGTAGCCAGTGACAGGGAATATGCACGAGATGAGGTTGATAACGATTGTGAATCGTAGGCAAGCCATGGGAGTCATCTTATATTTATAAGTCATCACACCGCCAGCAATTGTTCCGAAAGCTGCTATTAATATACCAAAGGCGCCTAAGGAAAGAATGAAAGAGAAGTAAATTGTAAAGATTAGAATGCACACAAACACACTCGCGCATATATATATATATATATATATATATATATATATATATATATCCTTTACAAGACATTTATGATGAGGCTAAAATATGAAAGCAAAACGTTAAATTTATATATGTTTTCCTATTTGTTCCTTTTTTTATCATTCTGACGGATTTATTTCTTAGTTGTTTCAAATCTATATCTCCCTTACACGCGCGAGAACACACACACACGCACACGCACACACACACACACATATATATATATATATATCTATATATATATATATATATATAATGTGAATATTGAAATCAACACTGAGGCGATGAGCTGTTTCATGCTTGATGCAATCGACGGGAGGGTCAACAACAATCGTTAGATCAGATGTGTCTTAGCCAACTCACACTCAAAGTGAACTGCCAATGAGGCAAGTTTCTATCGTGGCCGAGTTGGTTAAAGGCAAACCAGAAATGTGGGTGCAAGTTCGAATCCTACCGTAGTGTGCGTTTTTCTCCAGATTTTTCATAACAATATTAATGCCTGTAGAGTAAATAAATATACTTTTAAAAACATCGCCTACTAAAATTAGGGTATCCACTAAAAACAGCGTTTAAATTGATAAAAATACTTTGAACTAATAAATTAAAAAATACATCACTTCTTTACTTCTTACTCACACACACACACACACACACACACACACACATATATATATATATATATATATATATATGGTCCATTTATATGCTCTGTTATAATAAATAAATTGAGCTCTTTTTGTGGATCAGTTTTAATATTTTATATTATTAGGATCCATTTGGATTTTATACCAACGGATATATTACCTGTACTGTACCATACATACATACATACATACATACATACATATATATATATATATATATATATATATATATTATGAAATGGACAAAGTCCGACAATTATTTTAAAAAATTTTTATGTTTATACATTCTTTTTATAATACAAATATTTAAGTAAATGCTCAGTTTATAATAAACAGTATTAACAACATTTACCGGCCTGAATGTCCGAGAAATTGTCATGGAAAATATGTGTCCTCCGACAGTTTGTTTCATATTTTTTTTCTTTTTTTCTAATTTTCGAATATGTTATATATTTATTATCATGATCGAAATTACGTACTGCCCGGCCTTCTTCAGGTGATTGGATTGTCGAACTGAACCCTTCATTTCGCTCACTGCTGTAGTTCCATGTGCCATGTTTAATGGATGTCAGTTATCTCCTGTTAATTTTCCTCTGAAAGTTCTCCACTGCCTTAACCGGGTATTGAACTCACACTCTTTGGGTCCTGTCACTGGATCTGTCTAACTCCTGTATCCTTGTGCCATGTGTCCTTGAACTAGAACAGTCTACCCCAGGGTAGACCGGGTTCTATAGCCTTGGATGGCAACTGGTCTACCGCAGAAAGAAATGGCAACCTATTGCGGGAAAAAAATCTGCCTCGTCAGTCATGTACGTGCTAATACTCTTGGGAAAGGTATGTCTCCTCTTCTTAAAAGTTATGGGTCAGTAGCAGAATAGACCGGGTTCTATAGCCTTGGAGGGCAACTAATCTACCGTCGAAAGAAATGGCAACCTACTGCGCAAAAAAAAATCTGCCTCGTCAGTCATGTATCAAAAAGATACATGACGCCTAAGACTGTATCACACATGGCACATAAATCAGCAATTTGTAGTGTTGGATAAAACTACCTTTGGAGTTGCCTTTGTTCAATTTCCTTTTCTCCAATACTTAATTTGTTATAAATGACTCATACGCCGAAGTATTTGAAATGTTTATCAATTATTAATTCTACATCCTGAATTTTTATGAAGGGTTCAGTGTAGGTGCCGTTCACTACATCCATTCCAATTCAAGATCATAGCTTCTGGAAAAGTGGAAAGGTTTATCTTGAGTTCAGAATGGTTTTATACACTGTCAAAAGTTATTTGCGTGTGTCTGTTAGGAACTCGACTCCCTGATTTTTCATTTTGAGCATCGCGCATTCATTCCTTAGATGTGCGTTCAAGGTAAAAACCAGGATACTTTACCGATAAAAATATTCGACTTCCAGGACGGAAGCTGGTACTGAGTCTCAACGTATTTTGCCGTAAAAGGAAACGTTCCGGCCATTACGAAAATGACGACGATCGATTTGAAGCATTGTAACAAGTAAACAGGCCGCTTCATGAGTTTCCAAAACAAAGCCAAAAATTCTGCGGAAATAAAAAAAAATATATAAATATACAAATTATTTAATCGTCATTTATCAAAAGAGATGATCTTAATATGATCAGAGGAAATTCATTATTCAATCAAAGAATTTCGTGAAATTTACCATAAAAGTATTTTAATAAAGTTCGAATTTGATCAGTTCTGCACTAAATATGGTATTGTCAGTGGTCAGGAGTTAAGGCATACATTACCGTTCTAACAGGGTTGTTATGCAAATGCACTGCTAATGATTATTATAGAAAAGCACTGAAAATCAGTAAAAAAAAAGAATTGGTACTCGTAAAGAATTAAGGCAAGCATTGTTGAAAGAATAGGTTTATTACGTGTAAAATCTAAATACATTACGAATGATTTCATTATAGGAAGAAACTGAAAATCCTGACGAAAGGGATTGTCACTGGTCAGGAATTAAAGTGAGCATTACTGATAAAAGTGACTATTACAATCATTATAATAATGCGTTTACTATCAGGAAATTAAGATTGTCGTTGGCCAGCAATGAATAAATCGGTTACAGGCAGAATGGGATTATTATATGTGCAATGAAAATGAATTGGTGTGTTCGTCGATGGCGGGGTGAGGAAAGATTGACGATAAAGAGTAAAAAAATCTTAAAATATCAGGGAAATTGCAAAGAGCAAACAGAAATATATATATATATATATATATATATATATATATATATATGACAAACAGAAAAAAGATTTTGTGTGACGCGTTTCGTCCTTTAGGACTTCATCAGACTAAATTTGTTACGTAGCGCATGAATTTTTTTTTAATTATATATAATTTTTATTTTAATATATATATATATATATATATATATATATAGTCTAGCCGATTTCATTCCAGGACGCAGATGTACTGTGGATGACCTTGCGGTCAAGAATCTGTCCAGACATTTTCGTCTTAATGAATTGTTTTGTCCTTTGATCAGTTGTCCCGGTTACGACGATAAACTACATCCGCGTTCTGCGTAAGACGATAAACTACATCGAACAACAAGGCCTGTGATCAGGAGGTTTTGTTCCATTCAAAATCATGAAAAAGAGATAATTTGGTATTAAGAATTAATACGATTGCATAGAACATATGTATATATATGTTATATTTTCTGTCTGAGCCTCTGGGATTAGGGTTTATAAATTATATTACTTACATTCAGATTATTGTCCTTATCTTTGTTGTTATTATCACAACGTTTCGGACCAGGGATTGAACTTACATTTAATGTCATCGTATTAACGAACGAACAAATCTCTGGCCGTATAGTACAGTCTTTGACACAGTGAAAACAGATCGAGCAATAAGTGGATAAATTTCAATAAGGACAAATCGAAACATTCATGAGTTACCTGGATCGACAGATGCCTGAATAAGGCCGGAGAGTACAAAGTCTGAATGTTCTGATAAAAACAACATAAATGTAAGCGTTAGTTCGAATGCAAATAATATATAGGCTGGAATCTCCTGACGTATTCGACTTATGAGGGTCAAGCAACTCAGTTTCTAGGAACTGACAGCCCAGACACCATTACATATGATTTGATTATAGTGGTGAAGGTTTTGTGCAGAACCAAGTAGACTTTTTGAAGAGCCGAATACAGAGACCTGGGGCATTACGTGCCACAGGGTCCCCAAACGACCCTCCACTAGTTTTGAATTCAGAGTTGACCTTCTCTTAGACCAGTTGCTATCCAAGGCTATAGAATCCAGTCTGCCCTGCTATTTACCCATAGCTGGATGGAGAAAAGTATTAATACCCTAGGGTATTAGCACGTAAGTAAATATGATGGATTCAACTCGAATTCGAACACCGCTCTCCGATTCCTCAATCCGATAGAATATATATATATATATATATATATATATATATATATATATATATATATGGTGGACTCTCCCATCGTATCCGATGTATAAGGGTCAAGCAACTCAGTTCTTAGAAACCGACAGCCAGACGACCTGCACATATGGTTTGATTATAGTAGTGAAAGCTTTGTGCAGAACAAACCACACTTTTTTAAGAGCCGAATATAATGTCCCGAAAAGACCCTACGAAGGTTTTTAATTCCTGCTAATAGAGCAGTTTTCATCCAAGGCTATAGAACCCAGTCTGTCCTGCTATTAACCCACAGATGGGAGGAGAAGAAGAGGATTCATACCTTTCCCAAGGGTTTTAGCACGTAAATGGATGTAATGGATCCGACTGGAATTCGAACTCGGCTCTCCGATTCCTCAATCCGATCCTCTACCCATTGTGCGTCCTTATATATATTATATGTAATGGATCAAATCCGACAAATATTTCTGTTTAAACATTATTTTTATGGATATAACTTATTTGAGTGAATGCTATATAATTAAAAAGTAATAATAACATTTAACTGCCTAAAATATATGAGTCCTCTGACAGGAATCGAACCCATATCCCATTCGGAAACCGTGCTGTTAACAGATTCAGCTTTCGAGGACTTCCAGTTTAGCAAAGTTCAAATTATTTCTTATAAACACACACATTCGACGACCTTTCTCGATAATTTTTTCTGCTCCAAAATGAAACTTAACGTAAACAATCACAACATATTAGATGTAATAGATAAAATCCTACAAATATTTTATTACATTTTCTGTTTATACGTTATGTTTATGGATACAATTCAATTACAAATAAGTTGTATCCATAAAAATAACGTATAAACAGAAAATGCATTAAAATAATTGTTGGATTTTATCCATTACATTGTTTACATTAAGTTACGTTTCGGAACAGAAATGAATTATCGAGAAAGGTCGTCTAATGTGTGCGTTTATAAGCAGTAATTTGAGCTTTGCTAAACTAGAAGTCCTCTGTAGCTGTATCGGTTAACACCACGTCATTCTAAATGTCAATTTCCGCATGCGATACAGGTTCGATTCCTATATATATATATATATATATATATATATATATATTCATTAATTCCCGTTCTCTTATTGTGCTCTCTCCTTAATGTCTTCTTTTTCTTTCACACTCAATAACACATTGAACTTAGTGGCTTTATTGCCTTGGGGTGTAATGACTAAAAATATATATTACTATACTGCAATTCATGAAGAAAATAGTAACATTGACTTATAGAATTCGACTCTTATATGTAAAATTACCTGATTCAAGAAAGGCATTGTAAATAATTTCATTCTGGAAATAGATTAAAAACCAGACGGGATATCATTTTGCCTACTATCCTATCGGGAAATATGAAGACAATCTTTTCCATCACTGATATGTCACAATGAACGTTTTTGAGTGTCCACATTGCGCAATCTTCCTATAACAACCTTTTCTGCATAGCTGCTCCTTTATTCAACTTTAACATATGTCCAGCTCAATAGATATAGTTTATACCTACCTTTGATATACTCTCCTTTGTCTTTGTGTTTTTCTGGCTTTAAGTCGACCCTTCGATTTTTCATTTTCTTCGGGAAGTAGAACATTGGCAGAGCTGCTACAAATGAAGCCGCCCCAAAGACGAGGAACCCCAACCACCAAGCACCAATCCATCGCGAATCATGTGGAGTGATATTGGTCTCTGAAAAGATTGAAAGAACAATAACACCAAGTTTCTACATGAAACAAAACAGGAAGAAGTTTCGCCATGGCGAAATTAAGACTGAATGATTTCCGAGTAGCAATGGCGAATAAATATTTGTTTGGATCTGCCTATTTGACACAAGTTTAAATTTGGGTAGACTACTTTAATTCAGATACTACAAAATTCCACCAAAAAGTAAATACTTAAACAGAAAATGCAGCTAAAGCCACAAAGAACAAGACGATATCAAAATCGTTGTAGGTTCGATCGACAAAAAACAAGATATTACAAATGGAGCTTAAGAGATTTTACAGGGAAATTGGAAAAATAGTTATAGAACTTAAAATTCCGCTATCTATTGAAAAAGTGCAAAATATTTTTCGAGAATATTTGGAGCAGTCCAAAGGAATATAATCCCAAAGCAGAATGGCTAGAACGAAAAGAATAAAGAATGATGGATAAACCTCTCGAAGAATGGAACAGATATAACCAAGAATAATGTTAGACAAGATCTAACGAAACCCCCAAAATGGTAATTCCCAGGAAATGACAAGATACACCATTTTTGGCGCTAATATCTGTCATCAATTCATAAAAGCCTTGCACAAACATTATCAATGCTATTTACTAATAGCAATGAAGTCCCAGAATTTATCGCTGAAAGTATTACATATCTCCAATCAAAACCGGGTGAACAGATGATCTGAAAAATTATAGGCCAATAACATATCTATCCACCTCATATAAATTGATTACGTATGTCCTGACGAATTGTATTTACTCTCGATGAAAACAACATTCTTCCTTTGGATCAAAAGGAATGTTAGAGAGGTTCATATGATTGCAAAGATCAACTATTGATAAATAAAATGATCCTGGGAAAATTATAGGAAAATAGGTCGTAATCTCAGCACAGAATGGACATATTACCGTAAATCCTATGACATTATGCCACACTCTTGTATCCTAAAGGACATGGAAATATACAAACTCTCCTCAGTGATAGTGATAGTAAATTTCCTTCAAGACAACATGGAAATTTGGAAAACGACAGCATTCCTAAAATTCACAAAAGGGTCTGCCACTTCCAACAGCCTGAATATCCAACGAGGAATCTTTCAAGGAAACTCTCTGTAACCCCTTATATTTTGTCCGTCTTTAATCCCCTTTTCGGATTAACTAAAGAATAATAACTATGGCTACAAAGCAAACACGAAAGTATTTAATCACCTATTTTATATGGATGATCTCAAACTATTTGTTAAAGACAACAATAAGTTGAAGGGTACCCTCAATACTGTAAAATGTTTCAATGACGCTATAGGTATGAATTTCGGATTAGGCAAATGTATAAAAGTAATAGGCAAAAAAAGGGAGAATTAGAGAAACATACTCAATAGGTCTAGATTTTGTCACAAAGATTAGCGAACTGGTAGAAGAAGAGGCCTATAGCTACCTAGGAATTAGCGAAGAATATGGAATATAGAATAACCAAATGAAAACGAAAGTAAGAAAAGAATACTACCGACATGTCTGCCTTGGGTCGAATTTAGAATTGAATTAAAAAAGAATACCAGCCATTAACACTTTGGCTGTACCCGTGGTGCAATGCAGTTTGAACATCCTTAACTGGATCCTAGCTGAAATTAAGCGAATGGACGCCAAAACACAAAAATTTCTCATAAGATATCGCATGCATCATCCCAAGGCTGATGTTGACAGTCTATATGTGCCCAAACCCAAAGGAGGTAGAGGATTAGTTCAGCTAGAAATGTCTAACAAATCAACAAAAATCGGCCTTCGAAGATACGTGGAAACTACAGATGATGTGTGTCAAAGAAGATGAAAAATGTAAGAAAGTTTATTCACTAATAAAGGAAGCCAAGAAGTTCAAAATAGAATTTTAAGTGACAAAATGCAACTAAAACATAATGCACTTACTGCAGCGGCGGCAAAAACCTTAAAAATGGAAGCAGCGGCAAATGCAATGGACGAGATACAGAAACAATGGCAAGACAAACCTCTTCACGGTTAATATTCAGCACGTACGAAACAATTTGATGTAGACAAACCCCGTACCCATCAGTGGCTATGTCGTGCAGGGTTAAAAGCTGAAACCAAAGGTTTTATTCTGTACATGTCAAATGCTTGCCAACTAGAAATTACTAAGCACACATACTTAAAAATTATGTTAGCCCTAAATGCAGAGTTTGTGACAAATATCCAGAAAGTATTGAACATCTTTATCACATTGCACGTTATTGGCACCAACTGAATATTCAACCTGGCATGACAGAGTTGGCCAATATCTGCACTGGAAAATCTGAAACAATTACGGAAAGGAAATTGCAAGAAATTGGCATGAACACAACCAAGATACAATTACAGAGATAACAACTTGTGAAAATCACTCCTAGCGGTTATAATAGTATGTGTTGCATAGGGCACTCGCCTAACCTTATTATCTTCAATTCACTTCAACGGACTGAGACGAGACGTGACACGAGGTCGAGTTTAGGTAGGCCCCGAGCGTGTAAACTTTAGCCAAAGGTCAAAATTTACCCAGTCCACGCAACAAAATCCCTTACAACGAAATTACAACCTTGGCCAAAGACAGATATTCCATGATCAAGACTTCACATAGATTTCGCAGATCCAATAAACGGATCACATTATGTTGTTCACAAGATATGGCATTCCGGATGACATAGTCTCTGATATTGGTACACAATTCACTGCTTACGAATTGAAAGAATTTTGGTTCAGTATGCTTAGCTTATCATAAGAGATTTCATTCTTGAAATTCCCGGATGTCCACTATGAAATTAATTCAATATCCACATTTGTAAGATGCTAGGTATTACTACACGTTGTGAAAACATCAGTAATCTGTCACATAGCGAGTAAGTATTCAAGTCAGAATTGCATTCTAAAAATTATCTATCTTTCTTACTTTCTTTTAGTTGTTTTAGATTTTTGAAATAAACATGTCTTGTTCTGCTTTTACTTTTATTCTTCCAGGATAACTGTTAGTTCGCGTACTACATTGCATAATCGACTTTTAATTTATATTTCACTTTTTAATGCTGCAATAACAGTATCCTCAAACGGTTCAGTATTGTTAGGTATCCTTTTTGATAAACAATCAGCATGTCCTAATTTTTGGACAGTTGGTATTCCATCCGGAAACTGTATTTTAGTAAGATGTTACCACAGCGTTGTAAGCTATTCTATTTATGCGTAGGAATTCTTTTTTTGGACACATAAATTAATAGAGGTCGATGATCTGTCTGAAAACTTAAGCTCCTTCCGTGTATAAACTTTTAACATTTTTTTCACGGCAAATATTACGTAATGATTAACATATCTTTTTTATTTTCGTTTATGATCAATTTCTTCACGATTCTCCAGTTAAGCATAGAGAGTAATTCTTATCACTCAAGGTACAGTCTAATAATGTTAAAAAATAATCGGAAAATTCCACTAAGATATCTTTAATCTTTTCTAAGATACAACGGTTCAAAGCTTAATTTAACAAATGGATAATTTTACTTTTGATTTTACTTGATTTGGACAATTTTGCTGTAACGCCCTGTGTAATTTGGCTGCTCATATATCGCAGTGAATGTTGGACAATCTCTTCACAGATGAAGAAGAGTCTTGAGGCACTAGAATGGTGCTTTACAGAAGGACGCTAAGAATTGCATGGACTGAACAGTGGGTAAGGAAGACGTTTTAGGGAAAATGAAAACAACACGTAGACTTTTACTTCGAATCAGAAACAGGTAATAGAACTTAATGAGAAAAGAAGACGTTGAGGATTTGATTTTGCCTCGAGGATAAATTCGGTAGTTTAAGGATTTTTAAATTCACGTGCGCCCAACAGCTGCGGCCCTTAGAGAGAAGAAAATCCCTTTGTCAAATAACTTTAACTTTTATACTGTTCTGTTTTTGTTTTTTGTTTTTTTTCCTTTTTTTATTACGTGATATGCCATTAGCTGCAAAAACCAAAGTACAGTATTCTTAATTATCGAAGCTACATCCTATTTCTGGAGACTTCCATATTAAGGAAATCGCGGTACCCCTGACGGAAAAGTTAAGAATGAATATAAATCAAAGAATGATACCTACTCTTTAAGTTAACATACATGGCACTAAATTGTGCTCCAAGAATGAATGCAATGGCAGGTCCTATTATACCGATTCCTGTAATAAAACCTGAAAGTAAACAAGAAAAAAACAAAAATTAACTCAAAGTTCTTTTTCGGATAATGAAGATTGAAGATTACTTACAATTCCTGGCAGACATTGTTACATACAAGGTCTGTTCGGATAGCATCCAATCATCTTGAATATTTTGAGCACCATTTATGCAACCTTGTAATAAAAGCAATTTTAACGGTAATGTTAGTCGCTCCCTTATAAGGAAATATTTGATGTTCAAAGACCGAAAAGCCAGTGGTACTTTCTATTGAAATTTATATAATCTTCCTCTTTGAAAACAATTTTTCAGTAAAAGAATTTCCTCAAGTATCGTAACTTTTATCGCTTTTTCCAGTACTGACAAAAATTTCCTTCCTAACCTTTTTGTTTGAGTTAATGTGGAACATCAATATTTTGATTATCTCATTTACTCTTCGAATGTGCTGTCCAATTTTTTTTTTGCCGCTGTTGAATTCCTTAAGAGATGACGTTTCTTTTATTAGGTAATTACTTTTTTTTGTTTCTGATTCTGTACGGCCAGTCCACGAGGTTCGAAGAAGGATGGTCCTCGTGAAAACCTACATGTTTCCTTTGCTGAAAATTGTGATCGACTAAGTCCAGATGGGGCACAACACATAGAAGAAGTTCCTTGACGACGTGAACAAACAGCTGCCTAGCCAGCGTAGATGTAAATAATGTTTGCCATCTTTCAGCTCATCTCATTGCCTTCTCCGCCATCAATTCACACAAGGTACCATAGACTGGTTACACTCTGTTTCATTTTGACCTCTCTTTGTCTTCAATATCTTGTGAGTGTCTGCTTCTCCGAGCCGTCATTCCCTATTATGGGTCACAGTAATTTCAACAGTTTCTTTCTAATTCTAAAAACAAGTATCCGATTTGTTACCCTTTCCCTTAAATATTCCTCGTTGTGCACATGTTCTGTCTATGTTATTCTCAACATTCTTATGCAGAAGCACGTCTCTATTGCTTCAAGTCTCATCTTCGTCTATGAGAAGACTACCGAGCACCCTGTGTCTTATAGGAGGATGGCTAATACATACCATCACTTTTTTCGTTGCTTCTGTTTAGATTTTCCTGCACCATCACATTTTTTTTGTTTTGTCAAAATATTTCAAAAATATTAAACTTAAGTATTTATTGCTAATCATTTTCCGAGTTCGAATTCCAGTCGAATCACTGCTAATACCCTTGGGAAAGGTATAAATCCTCTTTTTCTCCCCCCGACCCGCAGCTATGGGTAAATAGCAGAACAGACCGGGTTCTATAGCCTTGGATGGAAGCCGGTCTACCGCAGAAAGAAATGGCAACCTATCGCAGGAAAAAAATCTGCGTCGTCAGGCATGTATCGAAAGACACATGATCGCCTCAGCGTGTATCACGAATGGCACTGACTGACCGATTGTAAATCGGGAAGGGGCACTCAAACGTGGTGTAATGGTTAGCGAGCTAGATCAGTCACGACTGACTAGCGAGTTCGATCCTCACTGGGTGCTTCACATTTTCGGCCTTGTCACATCTAAGCTACGCTTAGAGAATCATTTTTATCTGGCGCATTATCACATAACTTAGTGACATAAATTTTCATTGACTTGGGCATTTCAACGTAGTGTAATAATTCAAAAGCTCGGATCGCTTGATGAATTGAAATTGAATAGTGAGTTCGATCCGAACTAGGTGCAATATATTTGGGCCTTGTACCACATCTCAGCTAAGCTTAGAAAATCAAATTGCAAATGAAGACGAACGAAAATGCAATTAAAAAAAGCTTTACTGAAAAAACATGACAAAGATTTACGATGTCATAAGACTATTTGAATAAAATAGACAATAGAAAATCTGTACTTAGTTTTTTGTCGACGCATTTCGGCATCTGACTTTATCAAGGCAAGTGATGATAAACAAAAGCGAAATATTGTATAGTTAATCTAAATTCAAAAATTTTAAACGACACCCCCACCGGGAAAATATTTTGAATTTCTAGTAATTATATTTTCGCTTTTGTTTATCATCACTTGCCTTGATAAATTCGGATGACGAAATGCGTCCGCACAAACTTTTTTTTCTATTTCTATTTTATTCAATTTGTCTTTTCTACAGATATATTCTGAGAAATTTCACTTATAAAACAACTTACCTCTGAAGGAGTTAAATTTAATCCTGTCTAGGGAATCATCAATATATTTACGAGGGTCGGCTGAAAAGTTCATAGGCTGAACAAAATATAAAATTAGATACATCAGTTGGTAGACTAAAAGACAATGAATACAAGAGCTGGTCGGTCAGCCCAAGCAAGGCATTTTACTCCAAGCAAGGCAATAAAACCACTACGACGCAAGAGGTTCTTAATTTTAGAGAATATGAGAAAAAAAAACTACTAAAGAGAGAAGATAAGAAAAGAATAAGAATTAAGGAAACAAAAGATAACGATTGACATTGTATTTAAAGTTTTGAAGATCATGGAAAGCAAGAATTCGGAAGAAATTTCTACAAATAGGAAGTGCGACAGGAGAAAATTTTAGCATAGAACTTATGATTACATCTAGCCATTTCAACTGTAAAATGTTGAGACCTTGCAGCCAATCTAGTATTTATTTATATCTTAGTTAGACTATGAACTTTTCAGCCGACACTCATACCAAATGTGATCTGGATACCTTTCTAATTCCTCCAAATGTCATTGTCAAAAAATAGCATATGTTATGTTATAAAACAACTTACCCACGAACAATCCAACTTTAGTTTTTTCCAGGGTATCATCAATATAGGTGCTTGCCAAAGATGATCTTGGTGCATTTCCAATTCCTTGGAGTGCCATTCCAAGGCAAAGAATAAGCATAGCAGGTTTGTTGGACATTTTCGTTTCTTGAGACAAATCTGTAAGGGCTGATGTAGCTTTAAGAGTGTAATTTTGCTCAATGTCACTCTCAGTGCTGCAAAGCCCTTCATTTCCAAAAACTGTATTGGTTGAATTTAATGCTTGAGGAATTTCTTCGACCGGAAACAAAAAGTAAGGAATGGACGCGATGATACCTGAATAGAGAATGATAAAGTAATTATCATTTGAATTCGTGTTTGCGTCCCCAAGGGAGGTAAAAAATTGGAAGGAGTTTATTGGGCGTGAAAAAATATGAGAAAAAGAAAAAAATATATTAAAAGAACGAAAACAGTAAAAGAACAAGAATTTAGAAGACAGTGAAAAAAAACGAATGATATTGAACGTATATTTTTGAAGATCACAGTTGACTGGAATGCAAAAGGTCGGAAGGGAGTTCTACGAGCGAGAAGCACGAGAAAAGAAACAGTTATCGTAGAACTTACAGTGATATCTAGGCATTTTAATTGTAGAATTATGGAACCTTACCGTCAATCTAGTATTGCGTATACATTCGTAAAGTCTAGATGCCAAAAGATGAAAGGTCATCAGGACAATTACCATGAAAATATTTATAGAGAAAGGCTCAGGGAATCTACATTACAAACGAAGAGGGGAAAGTGACTGAAGCCGAGATGCCAGGTCAGGAAAAATAATATTGCAGATACTTCTTTGTAGTTTCTCAATAATCTCGTAAAACATAACAGAACGACTATATATAACGCAAAATATCACACAAAAAATATTACACACACACACACACGCAAACACACACACACACACACACACACACACACACACACATATATATATATATATATATATATATATATATATATATATATATATATATATATATATATATAAGGAGGCAAAGTGTAGTAATGGAGAGCGGCTCGGATTAAGGAATAGGGGAAGCGTGTTCGAATTCTAGTCGAATCCATTACATTCGCTTACCTGCTTGGGAAATAGCAGGACAGACTGGGTTCTGGCAACAGGTCAAGAAGGAGGACAACTCTTAATTCAAAATTGCTCAGGGTCATTTTGAGACCCTGTGGCACCATGCCTCTGTAATCGTTTTTTCAAAACATGTCGTTGATTCTGCACAAAGCTTTCACCACTATAATTATATTATATGCGCAGGTGTCTAACTGTCGATTCCAAGGAATCACATATGTGGTGCAGTTCAATTTATATTACAATGAATCATTCATACAAAAAGTAGTCAAGCTAATGATATAAAATGGCAAAGTCCCTTCGCAAACAAAATTTTAAAGTTGCATTAACCTACAAATCACTCGGCGACTGTTGCTATGATTTAGTAAAATCCAGGTTAAATGCAAATCGAAATATTTTTTTTAATTTGTTATTGTTAACAAATACAAACTTTTCTATCGTGTAGTCGATTTTTTTAAAATTTAAGAGAGTGTTTTTTTTTTACTAATATGGCAATTTGAGAATTTTTTGTTGTTGTTGTAGGAGTTTATCAGTCAATATGGCATGAACTAATGAAATGAAATAATTTCCATGCCTGAAGATGACTGAATGTACAGTAGAAAGTACTTGCGTCTTAAAAAAAGACCTTATACAGCTTATAATTATTAAAAACAAAGATCATAAAATTCATCGAGTGATTTGTAGGTCAATGTAACTTTAAAATTTTGCTTGCGAAAGGATTTCGCCATTTTATATCATTAACTTTATAATCTAATTTTTGTATGAATGATTCATTGTATGAATGATTCATTGTAATATATATAAATAAAAGGTAAACACATTCCTGGCTTTACGCCATTTAGGCATTTCGACTTTTTTTCCATTCGACTCTTTCATCGATTCTTAGCGAGTTCGACACTTTGTTCGACATTTTGTGCATGCCGTCATTTTATCTGTAGACACTATGTCTTCCGACACTCTGCCTGCGCAAGTTTATCAAGTTTTTTTTTTCTAATGGAAGCATGCAGTTGTTTATTCGAAAAATTGGACAAGGTGGTCTTCTGTGGGTCAAGTACTTAAGTACTTTGTTATTCTTCTGGAGAGGGTTGTTATCGTACGTCCAAAGTCGATTTATGACAACGTTCACATTCTTATATGGACAATTAAGATTGATATATAAGATTTGGTTGTTTTTACTTTTGATTTTGAGTGTAGCTTAGTTGTGGCACAAGGCCGAAAGTATGGTGCACCCAGTGAGAATCGAGCACACTAGTAATTGGTCTAGTGAGGTAATCTTGTTACCTTTTATTTTCTATGTGCGTTGTTATAGGAAATTATAAGCTTGAGATTATCGTTTTTAATTTTACTCGTTTCTTAGTGTCAACCAGTGTGCGTGATAAATGTATTGTCTAGTGATGCGCCATCTAGTGAATTCCTCATGTATTTGCTGTGTATCTGGCTGCAGAAAATATACTAATATTTTGTTGTACTATATTTTTAGTGTTAGCGTTGTTTTCGTTTCACTAGGAATACTTTTATTTGATTATCAGTACTGTATTTTGGGAGGCACGAGGAAGAAATGGTTAGCTTTTCGGATAGAGGAATCGGAGAGTTGAGTTCGAAAACCAGTCGTCTCCATTACATTCACTTACATTTTAATACATTTGGGAAAGGTATGAATCCTTTTCTTCTTCCCCCTGCTATGGGTAAACTGCAGGACAGACTGGATTCTATAGCCTTGGGTGGCAACCAGTCTAAGAGAAGGAAAATTCAAAACGGTCTGTAGAGGGTTGGATTCCATCAGGCCATCTTGCCCCAGAAATACCATTTCTACTGCGGCTACGGGTCACAAGATAAAAAAAAGTATAACGTGGAAATTATTGCTAACTCCAGAAGCTTGTGAAGGAAAGCCAGAAGAAAGGACTAAACATCAATTGGAAGAAGACGGAATAATTTTTTGTTAGCAAAAGGATGCGCTGAAAATGCAAATTACAAATTGGAGATACCGTAATCAAACAAGTACAACAATTTAAATATCTGTATTAACAAAGGACGGAAAGTGCGATATGGAAATCCGAAGGAGTAGTGGGATAGCGAAAGATGCCTTCCAAACACTAAGCAAAGGATTAAGAAACAGAAAAAAAATATCGTTAGAAACGAGTACTGAACTGTTATTCAATAGTATTCCTCTTGTATGGCAGCCAATGTTGGATAATCATCTCACAGATGAAGACGGGACTGGAAGCAACAGAAATATGATTCTACAAAAGGATGATGAGAATACCATAGACCGAACATGTGAACAAGAAGGAAGTTCTAGAGACACTGGCAACAAAAAGGACACATAATTAACAACGAGAAAAGACAAGTGAAATTTCCGGGGCTCATTATAAGGTAAGAAGGCAGAAAAACAATAAAGTAAGTTTTTGTTGAATTTTATAACCTTTCATTGAAGGTAACGTACTCACCATTTTAAACCATTGGCGATTTTTATTAAGGAAAATCGTATGCGTAAAAATATTTTGCTTTAGAAAGGAGAAACGTACATTTTATTTTATTTTCTCTGTTAAAGTATTTTTTTCTTTTAAAAAGATATTTTTTGTATTTTCAAATGAATAAATAAGAAACAAATAACAAAGCCATCGTTGATATTATTAGGAAATCTTCAGTTTTTATATTGGAGAAAAAATCTTTTCTTCAAATAAAAGATATCAACTTTTTCACCATTTTTAAGGCAGAAGTTTACTCGTATGATCTTCTGTACGGAAAATGGCCGTTTTACTTTCAACGAAAAATTACTTTGAATTTTTTTCATTAGTGCGGACCGCTTTATGATGAATCATATCCTATGTGGCCCATTGATGAGAAAAGTTTGCCTATGTCTGGCATAAATCTTACCTGATATTCCAAACAGGACGGTACTTATTCCAAGAAGTATTGGAATGTGCGATCTTCGAGCAAAGAAGCTGAATAAGAGGACTGTGAAGACGAATCCAATGTCTTTAGTGCTTGAGATAATACCACTTTCTTCACTTGAAAAATTGAACTGTTTCTCAATGGACGTAATTTGCGAGGAGAAGTAAACACCAATTGAAACCGTCACTAAAATGTTGAATCCGTAAAAGACGGCAAATACTTTGATGTTGGCGCACGGTTGAAGGCATTTCGGCTTGCATAAACCGATTCCACACAAACCTTCTTCTTTCTCTTTTTTCCTTGACATTTCTAGAGGGTACTATAATTGATGTACTTTTGTAGACGTGGTATTAGCTAATCGGCGACAGTTTGAGAAAAGGAATTGAATAGATAGATAGATAGATAGATAGATAGATAGATAGATAGATAGATAGATAGATAGATAAAAAAACTGATAGGGATCGAAGAAAACTGAACTAGAATCGATAAATAAACCCGAATATTTTCTTATCTCTCCTCATCTTTATAAATTTCCTTCATGATGTCTTCCGGTTTGGGAAAAGAGAAAGCCTGAAAAAATTTAAACAGAAAATGATTATTGATTATTTTGAAATAATCAGAATTTAGCTTAATTCTGTTTGTTCATTACATGTAAATATTTATTCAATTGAATATTACTAAATGAAACATGAGCCAGTCTACGAGGGTGGGCTCTAAATTAACAGGCCGACTATGAAAGTCTGATGCTAGAGTTGTTAAATCTTGCATGCATTAATTTCAACTATTCTTATTAATAACTGCATTATTTCTTCTCAGATAAACTGACAGCTGAAGAAGACATCAAAAATAACTAACAGTGACTTCTCTTGAAAATAGACAAAATTTAGAATCGTGGTTTACCTGCAGAAAAAAGGGTTCAGCCTTCTAGAGCATTAATGCTGACATGTTTGCTACATTAACTATCAACAGAGCAAAGTTAGACAGCTGAATTTAGGAGAGGAAGGGAGAGTCCTGAAGATGTCCCAAAGGTATGGAAGTCCTGCGACGGTCGCCACCGAGGAAAACATTGATCGTGTTCACCACATGATGATGGATGACAGTATATCCCTTGAGAGAGTTGAGAATGAACTTGACATGACAAAGGTTTCTGCATTATGGGTTTCACGTCTTCTGGCCCCTAATCAAAAACGCATAGTTTGATCACATCATGGGAAAATCTGAAATTGTTTGAGGCAGATTCAGCTGCTTTCCTTGAACGTTTCCTAATCCAAGATGAGCGTTGGGTTAATCACTTTAAACCAGAGACAAACGCCATGGATGTTTCCTCTGTACGAATGCTGACAGTCTCAGCTTTTTGGGATAAAAAAGACATTCTCATTATCTTTAAAAGGGCCACACCATCAATGGAGAGTCCACTTGCTGAGGAAATTAAGAAAGGCTATCAAGACTAAACACCCAGGAAAACTGATGAAAGGGATATTGTTTCATCGGAACAATGCTCCAGCACACAAGTCCTAAAGACTTAGCGCGTTTGAACTGATTGATCTCCTTTCCTTCTGATTTGATTATCATCAGTTCCCCAACATGAAACGAATACTTCGCTAGTAACAAATAACACAGTGATGTTGGCTACATATATGTTGTTGTTGACTTTTTGACCAACAGGATAAATACTCTTCTTTCAACATTCTGATATCAGTTTACCTGGAAATAAATAATGCAGTTATTAATAAGAAGCGTTGAAATCAACTCCTGTAATGATTCACACCGATTAAGGATTTAAGGCAAAATGTCGAAGTGAAATGGTTAACAAGCTGTTTTTTTTATCTCAATGATAGTAGATACATTCCTCACAGGGCTCTACATAGAAACCATTAGTCTACAGCTGTATGAATTACCATAATAACTTTCTCAACCAGAGGTGAGGAATTTGCTCCAGATAGGAATATCAGGACTTCCAGGGTTGCGTTTTCTTTCACATAATTTTGTTTATTGAATTACAACACTCTGGCAGTCTGCAGAGCCTTTTGTTTATAGAAATATGTCTCACTTGATTTATTTAATAACTAGCAGCCCTACCCAGCTTGTCGACCAGAAAAAGCGTTCAATTACAATGGAGCAAAAACAGCATCATGTTTACCTGTAACAGAGTCTATCTTCTTTAATTATTTAAAGTACTTTCATTAAAAACATTTTGAATTAATGCAGTTACTGATATAACAGAAGTAGTCTGTATTTATTCAGTCGAAGGACATGAAGGGGTAAACAAGGCAACATGAAGAATCACTTCAGACCACAATTATTTTGGAGTTTTTGAAATTCAATTTGTCAGTGTGCTACCAGGGATGTAAAAGAGGATACATTTATAAAGCAATTCTTAAGTTTGATGAAAACTGGTACAAAATTCAACGAAAAATAAGAAAGAAAACAGTAAAAATCGCCATTTTTTGCCATTTGCGCGGGTTTTCACTATAACTCAATTATCAAGTTACATGGCTGTTAAACAATCAACTTGTTGTTGGCTACAATTGAGTGAAATTTTTGTTCGATTGCTTGAAAATTGAGTTGTTCGTTTAAAATTTGTGTTGAAATCGATTTGTGTTTAAATCGATTTTTCGTTTTTCGCTCTTTTTCACTAAACGCAGTAGATCATCATGATGTAAGTAAACTACATACCAAGTTTGAACGAAATCGGAGGAAAAATTTGGATTTATAAATTTTGATCAGCTTTATCGATTATTGATTTTTTAAAACATTATCGATTTTCACGCTAAGAACCTATCCCTTACATTGTATAATGTATGTGCCAAGTTTGGTCAAAATCGGTTGGATGGATCTTGAAAACGTATATCGTTAAAACGTATCTCACAGACAGATAGACAGACAGACACACTGATATACTCTGTTTAATATATAGTGATTAGTTATGAATTAAAACAAATCAGTTTACATGTATTCAAGTTTAAAACTCCATCAACATTTTCTCTTGCTATTAAATTTGTAAAGCTTCTCTGTAAAACACTGTCCATGCAAATATATATGTACTTATATGGAAAAGTATGAAGATTTTCAATAATATATGCATATTAGTATCTGTCGATATTTCTGAGATGAGATATTATGTACATTATTTACATTATTCGGACTATTGTCCTCATCTTTGTCGCCATATTTATTACAACGTTTCGACAGTTGTACGCTCCAGCCTTCAGGTGGTTGGAATTTTAAATAAATAATTTAATTCTGGAGCTGATTTTCTTACGAAAAAGTATATAAAAATACACGAAATCCGGCCTAAAACAAGATACTCACAGCTGTCACCAAGTTCCATGCCACTCTGGCTTATGATCTTCACGACCTCATGCTCAAAGCGTCACCGTTGACAAACTGCAGAGACTGTTTCAGACCACGGCAATACCGCCAACAATAAGAAACAATTTCTATCTCTTGTATCCTCTTCACTATGAGCCACGCAAACAGGTGTTGACTTACACATACATATAACAACATTTCATTGTTTCTCACATACGAACACAAAGACGATTTATATTTTATTTCAGAACGCAAACAAAAAGACATTACTTTCCAGTCTATCACCAACTGTTTGTGTTTTTGTCGTTATATTAAATTTAATGTGTATTTGTTGAATCGACTTTTCTATTGAATTTTATTCTTTCAATGAAAATAGTGTGATGGAGCTAAGATGGAAAAGACGAACATTCAGTTTGTTCCTTTTTTTTTTCAAACAATTTAGTCAAAATTTATTGAAACAAAACAAGTTCAGTTGACCACTGGTGACAATTCCAGTACAACGTAACAATAAACAATTTTTTTCGTTCCTCTGCCACCCGCAATGATGGATAAAGCATTACGACGAACCATCGCCAAAGAGACACGCTGCAAGAGCCACTCCGTTTCGCGAGGCTCGTCACTTAATCGAGACGCAATCGCGCCAATCCTCCGAAGGAACGCCATCGAACGAGGACCAATAACCCCTGAAGTCTCCACTGCCACAGGTGTAAAAAAAAAATCTATCAGCAAGAGAAGACTATTTAACTATTTTTTTTTCATTTCTGCGTCCCGGGAGACAGATCCCGGCTCAACCGCGGACCTGATCAAATTACCGGTTGAAAATGTATCCGCACAAATCGCATCCCATATCAACGACTTCCCCATTTTAAAAGGGAAAATGGTAATGCCATCCGGCCACTTTCCATCACCACGGTCGAGGTCTACAGATTCGATTTGGGAAGGGTGATAATTCTAAACGCCCGAATTACGAGTAAACCTTCAACAATATTTTGTTATCTTATCACATCCCGTTACTACGAATTTTAACATTCAACAACAACAAAAAAAAAAAAAAAATCGAATGGAATGAATTCTACAAGTTATTCACTTGTCACTAGCAACTAATGTTTTTGAGAACATATAACAGTCGTGAAAACACTTCCACCTAAATCTTCACGAAGACACGTGTTATAATGAAACAAAATTGAGAAAAATAATTACAGGTGTTATTTCTCTTGGTTACTTATGATTGATTGATTCGATTTTTTACGGTTTACCAACCCTTTTTTTTATTAGAATCTAAAACATATTTCAGGTTCTAAGAAATATTTTTCTGAAAAATATTGCATTTTTTTTTCTGCAAATAGCAACGATTTTTCCAAATACAAGTGGCGCTATTTAAGACATAACTGGAAGAGAAGACAGATTCGCATATGCCCCAAGGCTATAAAGGAACTTATGCACAATTCGAACTTGGCTATCCAATTTCTCATTCCTAGCTACGATCCCCTACAACCCCCGCACATCCACGTGCGACTGTGTGCCGCAGTTTACATCTTAACTTTCACACCTATAAAATAACGAGAAAGGTATATTTAAATTATTTATGCTGGCATTTGGTGAGCACAGATTAGTAAGACCACGACAGCAAGAGTAATGACCTGCTTGAGTAGCTCACTAAACTATTCTTGAAATTGATTTATTTTACTCTCATCTAAAGCTTAACTTGTTTTTTTTTTTTCGTTTTAAGCTCTCTTACATTTAAAATTATATAGTTTAGCTTTTGATAGGATATTTGGAAATCTAAATATTTCAACATTTCACCTAAACGGTCTGTTTTGTTTATCAATTTCCTTGACTCCCAGATCAATTAAATTGTCAAATATTTTGCCTTTTAACCAAAGAAGTTTCAAATGATGTTCAAAGTTTGAAATAACAAAAAGTATCCATATAAAAACAGATCTCTGTGGAGCTTTATCGATAGTGTGTAAGGTTAGTTTACACGGGATTTTAGGTGGGGGGAAGAAATAATGTCCGCAAATACAACACAAAATTATAAACAACATGAAGAAATTATTTTCGCAAAAAATGAAGACCCAGCTAAATATGACAGTAACATTTATATAGCCAGATATATGTATATTACATATTAAAATCAATGTTCTTTGTTCGATTGTTTGAAATGATTCGTCGTAAGTGTGTATGCAAAGTTTTGAAATGTTTTTCTTACAAGTGAGGAAATCAAGTGGTATGTTACGCCAATATGTGTGTGTGTATATGTCAAGCATATACTAATGAAATGCATGTGACTGCTTACTGATTGTGTGCGATAGCAGTAATTTTTTTAAAAAGTGAACGAAGAGAGGGAAGGCAAGACTTACTTTCGTCGTGGCGTTGTATGCGGAAAATTCAGCGCTGACTGACGCGTTTTCATGTTAACGTGTGTCTAGGCTTTTGATAGAGGCATTGTCTAGTTCGCTGTCTTTCGCCAACTGTCCTACACTAACTGTGTCGTTCCAGATATTGGTTGCCGACCGTTGCTGACGAGACATTTCTGTCACTATTTGACAACCGGTGCTCAGCTAATGAACACTATCAGATTTTTGCGCTGAAATATACTCATTACTTCAAGTCCTGATCCATTCCCAGGTCATTTTGAGTTCAAAATCGCGGATGTCACAGAAAGCACATCATGTGACTTGCCCTATCCAATAAGGTTCCAGAAACCACTTATTTAATTTGCAGCCGTGTTTGTGCAGAGTTGTAAAAAGTTCTTCGTATCTACTGAATTTAGTAAGATATTTTGGATGTGTCTCTTGCTTCCTTGTGCTTCACTTATTGGCCGTAAATTATAGGAGTTTATATCTTACACGTTTGAACCAGAACAAAATTTTCGCTTAAAAATTTGGATTACGAGTTAAATTTTAGGGGTTAAAGTTTGAGATTTCGTGTTCGTGAGGGAAAATAATGAAAAAAGAATAAATATTTTGGAGTCCGTTTCCGCGAGAAAAACAAAATAGAGGTTAATTTGTTTTAAGTTTGTTTTTTTTTTATTTTAAACTTTCATACTTAAACAAAAAAGACTCCAGACTTTGGTAGGGAACTGATGATAAGAAAACTAAATAAAACGCTTCATAAAAAAACCTTCATTATATTCGTAATATTTTTTTTTAACAATAAAATTATACTCCACCCCAGTAATATTATCACATGACATAACACGTTTATATAACGTTATTGTTTGACAAATTACCTCCGATCTTTCGTGTTCAAATTACTTTCTTTTTTCCATTTTGCTGTTAAATAAACACTAATTATTTTCCTGTTAAATACATTATTCAATCATAAAAATATTTTTCATCAAAATTTAGTTTTTAATAAGGCAACGTTACGACAGTAGGAAAGCAAATGAGGCGCCAGACGCCAGGTCAGGAGCATTAATACAGGACACTCAGAGTTTGGTTACCGATGTGGAATAAAATGGATATTTATTATTAGTAATATATATATATATATATATATATATATATATATATATATATATATATATTATAAGAGATGTTTGAGCATGTATTTAAAATGTTCTTTCCATCTGTTCTTTCGCTGATTTGTATATATATATATATATGATATTGAGCGCTTTCTAATAAGTACCTTTTGCATATAATATATAAATAATTATACATATATATATTTATTTATATTTATAATGACTTTTTCACACATATATATATATATATATATATATATATATATATATATATATATATATATATATATATATATATATATATATGTAATATAAGGATAAGACTTGTGTTTTTATGTCCATCGTTTTCGTCATATTGAACTGAATTTGTATTTTAATGAATTTTGTCTTGAAAATGGTTTATTAAAACCGAAACGTCTGACGTCGACAATTCTTTCATTTTAACTACATTTATGGATTTTTGTTTGTTTTTCAAAATTTCTACATATATATATATATATATATAATGAAAGCGGAGGCTTTAGAAATTCATGGTAATTATTTATTTCAGGGGATCAGACCCCGTCTCTTCAGACCAAACAATTTTACAACAATTGAGAATTTTAAATTTATCCAGACACAAACGAAAAAAAAAATTCTTTTTTTCAAAAGTAAGAGTGGAAGATATAGATTTTAAAATAAGGTTTTAATATGGGGGAAGAACTTTGAGCTCTCTTGGAATTATCTCTACTAATTATCACACACACACACACACACACACACACATATATATATATATATATATATAAAGAGAGAGAGAGAGTCTACATTGTTATTTATTTTTTCGTATATTTCTAATGTTTGTTTTTAAAACCGGCGCTGCATTTAGATTTTTCTTTAAAATTTGCCAAAAACTGCTATACGTTATGTAAAGGATCGAGTTTTATTTTAAAATATGGATTTCTAGAATTAGTTATAATACTAAAAAATACATTACGTAACATATTTAATTTCCCCGCTAACCTCAACTCGATTCGATGCATTTTGTTTTCTTTTGTTTTCTGAGGTTGGGGGATATTAACAGATCGTTGACCTTGGAAATTCTAAACATTTAAAACGTTCTCCTGAACAATCAGTCTTGTTTATTCTTCTCATTGTCTTCCAGATGAATTTATTCTTTCATTGTCTTCCAGATCAATTAAATTGGCAAATTTTAAAACCATGGGCAATAAATCACTTAAATATAATTCATAAAAATCAGTTTTTAATAAGTCATTTTCTATTATTGTGCATAAAAACGACTTACTCAAACGAGATTACTTTAAGGATGATTAACGGGAGACAAGAATGAAATAATTAGGTTGTGCATATATTTATATTAAATCTATAAAAGTTTATCATCTAGCTATCTATCTACCTGTCTATCTATCCAGCTAGCTAGTGAGCTTACACTAATTTCTTAACCTGAAACTGGGACACTTTTATTTTTAATGTAGCTACTCTTATATAATACAGTGTTTCCATGACTAAACAACCTGACAAAACACGCGTTAAGTTTAAGGATTGACACACACACACACACACGCTCGCATATAAAAATACTGATTGTTTATATAACAAAAGTAACAACGGAAGACTTCCCAGTACGGGAACTATGGTATGGATTTTTCTAAAGATGTAGAAAACATATATGACTTTCTGACTGATATATATATATATATATATA